AATGATCCACCGCCTAACTTATGCACCATCGAACTCGGTAATATTGTACACGTAACTATTAATTACCATATATTCCCATAGAAAACTGGGCTTGCTTTTCAACATTTCAAGCGAAAATTCTCTACGGAGCTTTTGTTTTTCTGACGTAATTTCTTCTAAGAAATCGGTGACGTGATAGGTTCAGTTCATCTTATTTCGAAAAGGGTGTCATCTATTTAGAATATTTATTATTTTCATCTTGTCCAGTCTTATATACAACCTGTCCTTATCCTTTTCGCTTGTAAAACCGCGTAGTGATGTTGAAATTATGGAATAGATTCTGTGAGAGTGGCGACATGTCTGCATCTCTACCATCTTGCGTTTGACACCCCTTGTTTTGGGCGAGTCCAAGTAAACCGCACATCCGGGTGATTAGAAAAAAGACATATTTCAAGAAAATTCGAGCGGTGAGACAGATTATTCTGGTCAAACTGAGTTTTTGATGAAACTTATGAAAGAATCAATAAAAGGTAAGTGATATACATTAGGCGGTTGCCAAAAATTAAACATGGCGCCAATTTGAAACTTCAGAATGCCTTCTGTGATTCAAAATCACAAAAAAAGTCGAGTGACATTTTAGCTGGCGAAAATCTTAATACAATACGTTACCATCCATAAAAATCATGCAATTTATGCGAAGTCAGCATCTAACAACCTTGAGATTGACACATTTTTATTAACAATATACAACTCGTTCCTGTCCTGGATTTGTCATTTTATGACTTCTTTATACACAGTTTACTTACAGTTAGTATTTTCAGTGGGTCTAGACACATTTACTGAGAAAACACGAGAATGGACTAAAAATTATGAACTTGGATATCTCAGCTGGTAGGTTTACAGCTTATATTCTGCTTCTTATAAACCACATGGCAAGTTTAACTCAATCTTTATAACCATTTATATAAACATCACCGAATGGAACAAGGAAGTCTTATTTGTGAAGAAAGACGACATGCTGTCTTTCCAATCCGCCATTTTTTGTGATCGTTACCGCAAAATTTTGCAAATCACCTTGACGTAACCGTCATGCTATAACAGGGTGCTAATATAGATTTACATTCAACCTCAAAGTCAGATTGACTTCGACTGAACTGATCAAGATTCGCTATTAGAATTTGAGGTGAAAAAGATTAAGTGTGCTGTTAGAAAAAGGTCACTGTATTATTTTGCAATTAATTGATGCTGCGCATCTGTATCTGAAAATCAGGGTCAGTGTTATCAGAATGGCTGGATTCAAATCACTTCCTGATAAGTTTACATCTTTGATTATTTCAGTATTTATTTTATAGGTTATAGTTTGGACTTTGAGACAGCAAAGATGCAAGCATGTCACAAAAATGCCTTTTCTGTAATGTTGTCATGATTTTCATCTCGTTTCCCACGCATTTTTCAATGTTTGATGCATCAATATGTTACGTTTTGAGACAGGGTTAACATCTTAGAAGGAAGAATTCATCCACATTTAGGGGTTTTAAATATATCAAATATGGCGACCAAAATTAGCTGAAAACAACAGATTGCATGAATTTTCCAAATGGACTATTGTTTTCGACTTTATCCCAAATAAATGCATTTACCCTTCTAAGAGGTTACAATTAACAATTTTGGTGATTTATAGAAAATAGAAATGACAATGAATGACATAAGTTCAAATTATTCTAAAATTGAAATAATTATTGCCAAGGGTACTTTGACTACTACTTGGTAGTTACATAGGCTTTCAAGAGTCTTAGCCCATATTTACTAGATCTGATTCTACCCTTAGATCCCAAGAAACAGTATGCATCTAATAAGAGCATACACGCTGAAGTAAACAAAATGTTGGTCCAATAAATTCCAATATGAAGTGAAGAAAATGTAATTAAAATGTCTGTTTTAAAAATTTATTTCTAAGTTCATGATTAAAGTTTGGTCTGTGTGACAAAAATATTTTTTCAAAACAATTTTTTTATTACATTTTTTAAAAGAAATAATTTGAAATAAATCAAAGATTTGCAAATATATTTCAAAGTACATGTAGTATGAATCATCTGATTTGAATCTTTTCTTTGATAATTGTGTTCTTTAATTCAACATAGGTTTACTCCTTATTTACAAATTCATCAGATCAAGTATCATTACATCCAAGTTCAGCTTGAAAAGATGTTAACAGATCAATGCTGGTACATGTATTATCAGCTGACTTATGTTTAAATTCATTTTGAGAGATGGATGTTGCGATAGGAAAGCATAATCAAGACCCCCCTGGATTTTTTTGCAAGTTGAGCAGTACTACATGTGCAGTAACTTTCCACCTGACCTTTTCTCAACCAATAGAGAAAGATTCAAAAAGATCTCAAAATTAACGCTAATTCTTGTTTTTCTGATCCCTTATAACACTGCAAGGTAGTCATTTTGAATTCTCTGAGGCACAAATCAGATTAACAATACCATAATTGTGATCTACTCTAAAATTCCTTCAATTTGAGTATAATATAGCCATACTTTGAACAGATCAGAAAATTATTGCGAAATCCCATATTAGGAAACCATTTTGAATTTTACAAGGCCCAAATCAGAAGAAAGATACAATTGTCTTTCATTTGAGTATAATAAAGCTATACTTCAGAAAGATCTCAAAATAAATGCAAATACCTGTTTTCCCGACCCCCTATTCATGGCTCCTGGGGGTCAGGGTGAAAACACAGAATATATGTGAAAAAGTTAGATGTTGTGAATATACTTCCAAAATTTCAAACAATAATATTTATTACTTTGGTTTAAAATGAAAATTTTTGATTTTGCGTAAAATTCCTGCCATTTTTAAAGCGGCGGCCATCTTGGCGTATAACTAATCACCAATATACAGCTTTCCACCAATTATGAAGAAAATCTGTGTTCTAGTATTCAAGTTATCTTCCAGACAGATGAACGGATGAACTGACTGATTGACGGAGGGCTTCTCTACAGGGTGGGCCAAAAAAACGTCACTTTTTTTTCAAGACAATATAACTTTTTTTATTTTCCAACCTAAATACCCCAAATTTTGCAGTTATATAGTGTCAAAGGTTCTTAGTAATAATATAATGTAACAAGTACTTCAACTTTGATTATATTTGATCTAAAAGGGGAGTTCAATTGGTCCCCCACCCTAATTGATGATATATTTTAGTTTTAGTCGCCTTGCTGATATTGCAGTATCAATGAAATGTTAGCTAAGTTTTTTTCAACCTGTCTTAATTACCAGCTTTAGTTGAGCAATTTTCTAGATGGGGTGCTTTCATACAATCTCCTGGAGACCTTCCCATACCCTATACTCACTGGGGTTTGCATCGGGGCTATTAGCTTAATGATCATCAGGCCGTATCATTTCAGGAACATTTTGCAAATTATGCTTATTTCTCATGGCACACCACATGTTTAAGTGAGACGCTGGTGACATATTTTATTCAAGTAAAAGTATATACTTGAGTAATTTATGATCCGTGGCTTGATAACGACCTCAAGTTTCATTTGGTATGCAAATTATGATTTAATATCAAAAAATAAAAAAGTTATAGCATTTTGAAAAAAGTGGCATTTTTTGGCCCACCCTGTATATCCCTACAGAACTTCATTCGTTGAGATAATTATGGTTTATAGAAAGTTGGCTGTATTTCGACTATGAACTCTGATTGGCTCAGTGAGAGTAAACTGAAAGAGTGAAGACTAGGAACCCCGGGTTGGCTCGTCATATTTTACTTTTGGACATTTAGAGATGAGAGGACATTGAGAGTTTGACATTGGATCTGATTGGTTATTTGGAATGTTTGATCTATTGTAAATTGTGATTGATTTTCTTTGTTAGAAATCTGTAATTGATGGCTGGAAGATCTGATTTGATATGCTCAGTGCGCAGACTAGATTTTATATGTGACTCCCACAGGTATTTCTTCAAAGCGCCAGATTTTGACATTCACTTTATCAGGCAGGAGCTTGAAATTGATGTTATTTTGATCATAAGGGCTGAAATATAGTCGCCATCTTACTTAAGTCCTTTGTAATTTGTGACATGTTAGGTTCAACTAAACTCAGATTTCGCAATGTAATCTGATGTAATTCATGTAATTTGCTTTGATTTATATTTGATAAAACTGATGAAAAATACCAGATCTTAATCATTTGTAATTAATCTTTAAAACTTTACTTTACTTTGTTGTGTTGATTGTTTGTAATTGTTGACTGGAGGTTTATTAGAAACAACAGTGAAGTACCCTTATATTTGACAAAGCCTGTCATATTCTGATCACTTCATCATTCTGTTTTAATCATAATTTTTCAATTAGTGTTTCAAACTTTTGTGTCTAATCAAAGATGGCAGCACCTTATATATAGTCAAGCAATCAATCTTAACATTCAGCTCAAATCAGATACACGATGTGCCATGACCGTTCAGCTTACCACACTACCATTTGTTTGCTTGTTTGGTCTGGTTTGTTTGTTTGATTAGTAGTTTTGGGTTAATTGATTGATAGGGCAGCCCAAAATGTGGCAGTTTCGGGATTGAGACCGGAGCTGTTACAGATCTTTTTTAAGAAGCTAAGGTTTAAAATGATTATTTACGCGGGCTGTCATTGGGACGAGTCATCTGTAATAAAGTCTATACTAGGCAGAGCCTAGGTTATAACTAGACCCTGCATGGAAGGTAGAAGATTACACAAAAGATAATGCTCTGATGAGCTTTAAAAGCAATTGGTTATTCCAGTATTCCATCTAATGTTACAGTTGATAGAATTCTGAATTGAAATTTATTCTATGAATGTGTGTTATTAATAATCATGTATCATTATAATTGTTTATAGTTAATATATAAATGTAATTTATTCATTGTAACTCTTTTATTTATTAAAGGTAAATAAAAGTACAATACAATACATACTTCAACAAAATGAACCTGGAATATGTCAAGTATTAACCTTTACAGTACCTTTAGCTTTACAGCCATATGACTTAAATACGTTTACTCAGGATATAACAAAAATTGTTAACACCTATTTAAAGCTTAAAATAAGACATACTGTGTAATCCAAAAGCAAAGGACAACATTATAAAATAAAGCATTGATCCTCTATTAATTCTAAGTCCATTTAACTCCTGATGCCTTGATGTTCATATGAAATGTGTGGCATCTTTGTAATCTTACTTCGCTGCACAAAAATTGAGAGCGCTAATGACTTAATAGGAGCATCACCCCATCTATTGTAGTAAATACCTCCAAGGCTATCTATATAGTCTATGTATTTACTATATGCATCTCCTGACCATATACTTGTCCTTGAAATTTCAAAATTGTTATAAAATATTGTGTTCTTTTTCCATGCAAATTTCGGAATAATGTTATTTTTCTTACAGTATTTTTCTGTACTTTCCCAGAGTCCTGTCACGCATCTTGCTTGATCCTGTGTCATAATTAAATATCCATACATGTAATTATTGTCTCTGAAGTATCGAAATATATCGTAATTTATCGGCTTTAAAAAAAGGGAGTCATCATCCAGGCGCAAATAAAAATCAAATTTTTTCATCACAGGGTGCTGGGGCACTTGTTTGCTATGGAAACGGCACATATGTTTGTATCCTATATCTCTGTAACAAACCTTTGACTTCATTAGTTTTGATGAATTTATGAAAGAGGGAATCATGAATTCAACAAGTTGAAAAATAACGATGTTTTGTGTCCTGGACTTAATTTCCTTCTTGGTTGTATTCTTGAAGCTGGATTCATGAAAAATGATTATAGGATAGTTATATTTCAAGTTAAAGAATTTCTCTAGTGACTCCAATGCTTTCCAAAACTTCTGCATTCTTTCTGGATTATCTTGTAATAGGAAATAAATGAAAGCTTTTGGTTTGTCCTTGGGCCAATTTTGTAAGACTTTAGCGAATATGTCCATTTTTGGCTTAGGTGATATGTTATGTGCAGAGTCCTTGTTTGGAATATTCCTTATTATTAACAAACATCCCATAAGAAATAAACACACTAACAAAGCAAGTAACTTTCCTGTTTTCATTTTCATTTTTTAGAATAATTCTACTGTACTCGGTATGTAATTACTTTCTTATTTTATCTGTTATTAATAATTGAAACCAATTTATCCATAACTATAACTTGTACAATGTTACATCTGAACTAATCACCCTTGTATAGAATAATCCTACTTTACTCGGTATATAAATTGCATATTATTAAGTTGTAATTCTTTATAAATTGTTTTAAATTTAGGTGCATATACTCTTGCAGAACTGATCAGGATTCACCATTAGAATTTGAGGTGAAAAAGGTTTAGTGTGCTGTTAGGACATATGGATAAATTTGGTACCATTGGAAAGCTAATGTTCTCTTGTTTTGAGATTAACTTGCAGTTATAAATAATAGGCGGAATATGTCTAAAATGGTAGTTAAGAAAATAAATGAAGAAGAAAATAGATGGTGGGCCCCGAAGGGTAAATTAAAATTTGAAATGTAACTTTAAAAATTTCAGAAAATAAGTCATTACTGATGATACAAGCAATGTATCATTATGAATTTATCATGGTGTACCAAAGCATCGTTCGCCAGGTGAACCCCAAGCCTTGGCTGTTTCACATTTCCCCCTTTCCGCTACATAAAAAAGTTTACTGATAAGTTTACATCTTTGATTATTTCAGTATTTATTTTATAGGTTATAGTTTAAAACTTTGATTATTTCAGTATTTATAATACTCGTATGTTATTTTGTTTTTTGGACTAGTGTACCAACAATAAATTGTTGATAGTTTGATTACACACTGTTTTTATATCATCATAGGGCCGTAGCCAGGATCAAAATTTTGTCAAGGCAAGTTTTCAGCCAAAATATTTTAAAAGAAAATGAACAATTTGGTTCCCTCTTCACTTCTTTTCAAATACAAGCATGTAGCCAGGATTTTTCACAGATGTGGTTCTACTTTTACTGAAAGACCACGGAAGTTATGGCTATATGCATAATCTCCAGGAGAAGTACTCATAAAGATAATTTGGACTTTGGGACAGGAAAGATGCAAGCATGTCACAAAAATGCCTTTTCTGTAATGTTGTCATGATTTTCCACCCTTTCCCCACCTGTTTTTCAATGTTTGGTGCATCAATATAATGAAAACAATAGATTGCATGAATTTTCCCTATGGAAAATAACAAGAACAATTGTTTTCTACTTTATCCAAAATAAATGCATTTTCCCTTCTAAGAGGTTACAATTTACACTTTGGGGGATTTGTAGAAAATAGACATTACAATGAATGATTTGAGTCCAAATTATTCTATAATCTAAACAATTATTGCTAAGGGTACTTGCTAGATACATGGGCTTTAAAGAGTCTTAGCCCATACTTACTAGATCTGATTCTACCTTTATATCCCAAGAAACATTATTATGAAGTCCCGGTATGCATCTAATAAGGGGGTAAGCGCTGGAATAAACAAAATGTTGAACTTTTACTTAAATTCCATTATGAAGTGTGGAAGATGTAATTAGAATGTCTGTTTCAAAAATCTATTTCTAAAGTTCATGATTAAAGTTTGGTCTGTGTGACTAAAATATTTTTTCGAAACAACTTTTTTATTACATTTCTTAGAAGAAAAAATTTGAAATAAATCAAGTACGATCCTTTGATTTGAATCTTTTCTTTGGTAATTGCATAATTCACTATGTGTTTATTCCTTATAACATGAGTTTGATGAATTGAGGTCACCATAATTCACTATGTGTTTATTCCTTATAACATGAGTTTGATGAATTGAGGTCACCATAATTCACTATGTGTTTATTCCTTATAACATGAGTTTGATGAATTGAGGTTACCATATACATTTACATTGAAGTTCTAACAGGCAACTCAAACTCACTCAAACTTGATTTTCAATATCCCTTTTAATGATAGAGGAAAATGCAATGTTGCATGGTTAGACCAGACATATCTCTCAGGAACTTCATAATCAGTAATTATTATGGAAATGATATTTGATTAAGCTGCAACATAATCAATAATGCACAAAACACACAACATGCAAGAAGACTTGGTCGAGATGATCAATTGAATCCAGGGCTCTGGCTAGGCTTTTATACTGTGCCGCAGGACCAAAGTCTATTTAGCCCCTGCCATAACCCTGCAAATCATGATTAATAGCATGTAAAAAGGATGAAAAAATATAACATAAATATGATTTATCAGGATTGAACTGTTATGCTGAAGATGTTTCCACCACACCCTAAATATTTCCTGGTGAGAGCCCTGGAATCCATTAGCCAATCGGTGCCTTACCTCTGAGTCCACTTGTAGAATTTGACTTCCCGCAGAGGGTAATTCTCGCCATCCAATTATTTCAACTGCATCACCAGGTGGAGCTTCTTGCACAGTATCCCCACGCTCAGTAAACATACCACGAACCTGAATTTTGAAACAAAAACTATCTTAAATGGTAAACATTTTCTATATATATAAGTTCATTGGCCTACCATTTTCTCAAGAGAGAGATTGGATTTCTGGCATTCTCGTGACCCCTGACAACCAACTCTCCGAAAAAAGGAAAAAACAACAACCTCTCAGTAAATGATTTCAGGGCTCATGGTAATATAATATGTGAGAATCATGAAAATTAAATAAAAATGTTTAGTTTAGCTGTGTCTCTATAGCAACCATTGTTTAACTAGAGGAACATAAAACACACTAATCCAATTAAATATATTCAAGGTGGAATATTTATCATTTATGCCAGTGCATACAATCTGCTTCTCTATTGTTTATTCTTTGTCAGTGCAACCAATTCATAAAAGCTAAATGGTGTAAAAAAGCTGATGTTGCAATGAGCCAGCGACTGAGAGTATATTGTTACGTTCGAAAATAACAGAAAGGAAAAACAGCAATTAAAATAAATACAGTACTATATTTTTGAAAAACTAAATGCAATAACAATAATATATAAAATATAGTCTTATACTTAAGATCAATCAGCGATAACCCTAACTGTCTTTCGATGTTGATGAATATCCTGAGACTGAGATTATATTATATTCGCGAATGCAACTTTCAGCTGTTGGCTACCAGATTAATCTACTATTTTATGGGGAACTCATTTAAATATGAATAGTACCTGCCACTATTCCATTCATATGAGTTAGTCATAAAATAGTAGGTAAATCTGCTGTAAATCTGCAAAAGCTTAAACTTAATTAAACTGAGAAAGACATTTTTATGAAACTGAATTTGGAAAATTAAAAGAATGTACCTACTTTTGCCCATGCTGTTCCGGCCACCAAATACATCCCTTTTCTCAAAGTCCCCATTTGAATCAGTGCCGTTGATAACTTTCTGGAGAAAATAAAAACAAAGTATTTTTATTGATGACAGGACATGTGACAACCTCCTCTCACAAAAGACATGCAATGGTAGTAATTTTATATATAATTTTTTCTGAAAATAGTCTTGTCTAAGATCGAAATGCATATTTATCTTAAAATGAAATATGCTTATGGAAACTAAAATAAGACATAGTGTGAAACTGGTTGGATCATAGGGGTTTCAGCTCTATTGATAGGATGCAAAATCGATTTGTATAACTGACCATGAATATGTGATTTTGTCACATGCCAGAGTGTTTGATAAATATTAAAAAAAACATGTTGATATCTAAATCAACTATTGATGATAAATGTGCTAATTGCTTACCCTCTTCCTGCATGGGTGCTTGACTCTAAAACGACCGCCTCAACAGGGCCTGTGACATCACTCTTCAAATCCAAGATATCTGCCTGAGCAATAATCGCCTCCTGAAGAGCGATTAAATTGAACCCTGTTTTGGCTGAAACCTCAACAGCTTGAATCTCTCCACCAAACTCCTCTAGGTGCACCCCAGCTACAAGGAGGTCTTGTTTGGCACGTGCTACATCTGCTTCTTGTTTGTCAACCTTATTGATGGCCACAATGATTGGAACTTTAAATTAAAACAGCATTTCAATTACTTCATGTTCATTAAATAAACACTGTATGCTGCATCTAATTAACATTCATGTTTGTATACTTACATAAAGGCCAGTAGCCAGGGGGGGGGGTTCGGGGGTTCAGGCGAATTCTGTCAAATATCATGCTTTTTTCACCATTCTGAACACTTTTGAAGTGAATTTGGCCATCTTTGGGCCATATATATCAAATGAGAACCCCTTGAATTTTTGACAAAAGTAGGCTACATAATCCTTCAGGCACTAGAAGAACAATATAAAAAAAAACATGGCTAATATTGCAAATCAATACTATCAAAAAACAGAATTTATCATTGTTTCAATTTATGATTCTATGCATAATATAGAGTGGAGACATCTTTTATATGATGTTCAATTTTATTGCTGTACACAGGGAATTCACGAAATAAGCAAATATCACCTCCATTTCATTTGAGGGTTGTCTTGGAAGTTATGAACTACACACGTAACTGTTCCATAACCCTGAGCTTTTATTGTTATTTTAACACCCTCAGTATATTGGACAGACAACCAATTGATATACCAAAAATCAAAACAAGACATTTTGTTGTAAGAATTTTTGAGTAAGTAATTGGTTCGGGACTTCTAAGACAACCCTCGTATATTGTATACTTTAAGTACAAACCTCCAGCTTGGTTGCAGTATTTAATGGATTCTTTGGTTTGTTCCATGACACCATCATCTGCGGCAACAACTAGGACCACCATGTCAGTCACATGGGCACCACGAGATCTCATTGTTGAAAATGCAGCATGTCCAGGTGTATCAATAAATGTGATTCTCTCATTAGTGTCAGGTAAATGCACTGCAAAGTTAGAAAATATTTGAATTACATACACAATTATTAATAATAATCTATTATCATGTTGTAGATTCATTTAAGTGCATATAAAACATTTATTGTGGTTTTTATTTACTACAACAATTCAAACCTCAATCTCAGCAGACATCTTACATAGGTAAAGAAATAAACAAATTATAATGACACATTTTATTGCAAAAGCTCATGGCATAACATACCATATCTAATTCATAGAAATGTTTTCAATAATAGAAAAAGATATTTCTTTCCTTATTCATTACATATATGTGTGTGAATTTATAACCTGAAAAGGCTCCTATATGTTGCGTAATGCCTCCGAATTCTGAATCTACAACATTTGAGCTTCGTAAAGAATCCAGTAGTGTTGTTTTCCCATGATCAACATGCCCCATGATTGTCACCACAGGTGGCCTCTTTACAAGTAGAGATGGGTCTGCAGGTGGCCTAAAACACATCAAATAAAGAAAAACATTGCAATTTTTAGGGACAAGATCATCATTGAAGGGACCAGAAGGGATAGAGTCGAGTTGAGAGTAAGTTTCAAAAAGATTGTCACAATGTAACAAGATGTTTTGCTCTCATAATGTCAAAACTGTCTAGTTTTATTATAGTTCTGACTTTATTTCATGATAATCCTTCAATTTTCATCAGACAAAAAGTGAAAAGAGAAATTTTGTAATTTTTTCCAAAGTATTTTTTTTGCTGTTAATTTTATATAATTTTGAATTGAAACAAGATAAATCAATAACTGTTTGCATTGACAATTGCATAAGACCTGAAACTTATTACTAATTAAATGCTTTTATAAAATTTGTCAAAATCAACAGGCTGCTTTAACACAGGGTAAAGTGGGAAAGTTAGAATTGCCATACTTTTGCAGGGGACTGTTTTTTCAAAAACATTTATTCATGTATATGTGATGAGCTGCAAAAGGCTAATAAGCCCATTTAAGCAAATATATTAGTTATATATATACAGTATATTAGGATTGTAAAAGTATATAAATTTTGTACTCACCTTGGATAAGCATCCATATCTTGTTCAGCTTCTTTGTTTCCTTGCTCTTCAAACTTGAACCTCAAACCAGTTTTATTCACTATCTCCTTGGTTACTTCAATGTTGTCTATTACTAAAACAACAATTATGATAAACCCATATTTGAAGTGCATTACACTAGATTACATGCAAGTAGAGAAAATACAGACTGTAAAAATAATATAGCAATCATTTTACACAGTAAGTGGAACACCTTTGGTAAATCAAGAAGGTTTTCCACTTGGGGGTATTCCATATATACGAGAGGAGGTTCATTTTGCATTAGCCGGGCACTGAAAGTGTTTAACGCATCTTGATTCACAAGGTTTCGATTGTTCCTACCTCACCTTGATAAATCTGCACGATTTAGCCGACTACTGTGGAAATAAACTCCAGCTTAGTTCACTCTCAATATTGCTCCTCCCGGCAGTTCCCCGTAGAGTTTTGTGAGAGGCCACATTGATGCAATATTTATTCAGTCCGTATAGACATTTCAATATTTTGTCACGTGACGAAGCAGAGCATTCTGATTGGGTTCGTGGACTTAACATCGGGCCATGAACCGCTACATATGAATGGGATAAACAAATTGACCTTTTATGCCACGGGCTCTCTGACCCAGTGGAAAGCGACGCTGTGTTTCAAGTATGGAACAGGTTTTCCGTAGTTTAAAAATCAAATCCATATATACAATATGTACTAAGACTCATTAGATGTTGGCAAGTTAATCACTGGGTTCACTTTTCAGGATTTTATATTGTTGTGGGATCTACTCACTCACATTTTTGAAAGAATAAATATAGCAGCACATAGATATAATCTGTGGTGCAGATTTCAAATATGACATCATCACAATCAAATATTGAATATCTCGTGATGAAAACCACAATTATGCTTCTCACATCTTGTCTGTAATATTGTAAACAACTTACTGGAGTCCTCTTCCTCATATTTATCTGTGTTGTGCCCCTTTATATACAACATGCATTCAAACACATGATCTGAAAATAAAACATCATACAAATACAAGTATGTCAGCCTTTTATGGGATTTTAGATGTGTTCTCAAAAATAATGTGACACATATACATTTTTACTGGATATATAGAATGTGAGAAACAAAACTTATCTCTTTTTGAGAGTGTCTCAGGTTCAAGTTCTAACAAAGGTTCAGATTTTATATGGACACATTTAATCCTATATTCAATGAAGTGACTGCAGTAGAGCCTAATCATATAGTTAATTTCCAATTGAAAGAATTAACATGTATCTCTCATTTTAAGAGTGTCTTTTTGTCTATTAAGAAATACCGGGTGACCTTTACAAAGGGTTATACAAGGGGCGATCCATATATTCTGATAAAAATGCTCTCATTTTGTGATTTTTTCACATATCCCTTTCATTTTTTCAGAACATGTAGATTATGTAATTACACATACAATGCTAAAATATTTGAGCTATATCTTAAATCGATTTTGAAATAAGGTTGCCATGGTAACCTGTATTTAGGGTAGGCAGGTCAGTTAAATTATAACGTCTAAAATAGATAAATATGTTAATTTAATCATTACTCGGTACCTATTTTAAGCAGATCAAACGCATCTTCCAGTCATTGCCAACTATTCATTGATCTGTTCCATACCCTGTTGCCCTGCCCTTGCTTGATAATTTATACAGTGGGATGGCCATCTTTTCACAAGTAACATCTCAATTTATCATAGTGTTATTCTCTGTCCACAAGCTCTTCTTGCAACCAGATTGTGGATGATCTTCAACAGTGACCATGCCTTTCTATTTACAATGCTACCTATAGATTCTTTATGCAGAAATAACACCTTGCCCATGCACTTAATGAGTCCATGTATGTCTCTGACAGTGTCCTCTTACTTATTCTTGAAAGAAAAGAAAATCTAATGGTATTCCCTAATGTATCCGTTAATGTCACACTCTGCATCAGCCACATTAACCTCATCTGACAATTTGATTTTTGGTGTGTCTCATAAAATGTAAGGTCAAATGGCCCATTCTGTCTTACAATGCTATTGTGATTTGTTGTGATGTTATAGTGAGCACATATAAACATTTGTTTCGCAACAAACAGCGAGTAACAATACCAAACTTTTTTTAGAAAAAATGCATGATTTCCGCATGCTTTAAAATAATTAAAATAACAAGTTATTATGATATTTATATGTTATAATTTAATTGACCTGCCTACCCTTAATACAGGTTACCATGGCAACCTTATCTCATTGATAATTTAAGATATAGCTATAATATTTTAGCATTGTATGTGAAATTACATGATCTACATTTTCTGAAAAAATGAGAGGGATATGTGAAAAAATCACAAAATGAGAGCATTTTTATCAGAATATATGGATCGCCCCTTGTATAACCCTTTGTAAAGGTCACCCGGTATTGTATGTGCCTACCAGTATCTTTCCCCATTGAGTCTGCAAGTTGTTGTACTGTCATATTTTGCCAGATGGGAACCACTTCACCAGTTGCTATCATTGGTTTCTTTTTCTTCTTTGGCATTTGCATTTTCTTTACCTGCGTGGAAATAAAAGTCATTATAAGCAGCATCGAAAATGAAACTATCATATTACTCATGCACAAGTATGTAAATAATGTTGTGAAGAACTGACTAGACTGGTTTCAATGCCTTCAAATATAAGTCACCCTACACTTGAGTAAGAAGAGATTCCACAGCCTAATTAACACTTAGTTTCTAGTCAAGTCAGCTCAAATATTTACTATGTTTTTGGAGAAGGGCATAACAATTAACAATAACAATGTAGTTCATCTTACAAGTTGAACTGAAATCAATGAATAGAACATACATTCTAATTACACTTTGGAAACTTGTGCTAAAATATAACAATAATCATCTTACTATTTTCTTTTTCTGGTTTTTAGCTTTAGCAGCAAGATAAATAGAACTTGTATGGTAATCCTTGTGAGCCTGTACCACATGACATTGCCTCCCAATTGATCTGGCATTTAGAGTATCACATTTTAGACGTGTGCATCTTGTGCAGTTGTTCAGTCCTGCGAGGTTGTAGCATCCACTTATCCGTAACATTAATGTTTCTGATATTTGGTTCTGGAACAATCTTGACATTCTTCCCACACTCATAGTTGCTTCTATTAGTGCAGCTCTGATGCAATGTCAAATCTTTTGCCTCATACTATGTTTATTATTATCCAAAGTTGTATTGATTACCTGTAAAAAATAAATTAAAATTGACAAAATCCAAAAGATAATATAAATATGTTAAAAAAATAAAAAGTATAAGTAAGTGAAAGATACTAAAAGCAGCAAGTATCGCCTATTAGAAAATAAAATAAGGGTTCTCACCAGGAAATTTTTAGATCTATGATTATTTGCGGTATCACGACTACTCCCCTCATGTGAGATCAGAGATATCCTATTAAGTATACTTTTCAAAATACTACTTAAAAGCCCACTATACTTAATTTAGAATAAATAAAACTTAAATAACATAGAAAAAGGCATTTGAAGTTCAGAGATCAATATAGTGATGCACGCCCATGCAACACAAAGTGCATGCTTCAAATTACTCTTAATGATGATACTTCAACCTGATCTCGTATGTAAGCTTCTTATCAACAAGTTATTGATCGGAAACTAATCACATATTGATACCTCAGATTCAACAAACAAACCTTTTTTATGACATAGGGTCCATGTAATCAGAAATTCTCATCCAACTTATGGATTCTAAAATGGAAATTTTGGCACAAATTTACGGGACTGCCATTTAAAAAGAATGTGCAAACATATAACAACGAATCTTATACAACAGATATTTAGACATGTTGGGTCTCTTCCTAAAAGCAGCTTTACTCCCTATCATGGTTTTATATTTCTTGTGTTATAATTAGTCGCAATGCTAAATTAATTTACAAGATTAATTTACAGGACACACACTTTTTGAAAATACGAAAATTAACTTAGAATGCTATATCAATTTACTTGTTAGGACCATGAGATCGATATGCAACCAAGGAAATAAGTATGCGATGTACAATATTTGTCATTTTAGTATTTAGAGGTGTCCCGTAAATTATGTTTGTAAATTAAATGTGTGTAAAGTATACTGTTTACACTCTGTTAAGCATGATAAAAGGCAAGAAGTTTAGTTAGAAATAAAAGAGTTATCTCATGAATGGGACCCTTACATGGCTCCTAAAAGGTAGAAGACACTAAATGGTGTAACACTATAAGCTGAATTTTGTTCACATAGAGCATGTGCACAATACTAAAGACATGTAAAATTGAACTGTCAAAATAATAGAAATTACTCACCAGCTCGCCTCTACCGGAAGTTATGATACGTTATGGTGTAACTACGGTAATTAATTTTAAAATATTGAAAAAATCAACAACATTCAATTTCTAGGGTATACAACCATTTTCGAGCAAATTTGCCCATATAATAACAATATTTTTGAGTTCCCCTAGGCTATATATAAACTTCATCAATACACAGTATATTCAACATAGGTTTTGCTTCTCGATTTTTAAATATCACTATGCAAAGACAGGGACTCATTTTAGGTAAAATCATTGCTTCACCAATGAAAATTAAAGGGAACGTTAGCTCACAAAATAAATAAATCCATTACAATGTTAAGTATATGATTTGAAAGATTGTCTGGATTATATATGTGATCGATTGATGCATAAACAAACATATTCATTTCAACTTGCAGACCTCCATTCTGGCTCATGTATAGGCCTAAGACGCCATATTGCCTTATGTATTGTACTGCCCATACGTGCATACTTAATGCGTGACGTCACATTGACAGAGATCAGCGATCAAGTTTGACTAAAAAATTAAAAGATCCACACTTAACAGCACAAAAATGATATCAATGATCGCCTATTTCATATCAAATAAGTGTAGGATGTAAGGTTTAACATTTTTCATGTTATTTAGTATTTACAGAAGCAGAGCTTGTAAAGAAACCAAGTTTTAAATTCCGATTTTGACTGTTGACAAAAATAAAGAAAAGAGAGAAAGAGGTGACTTGTTAAAAACACTGACATGAAATTGTGACTAAAAAAGATATTATTGTGGGTTTGATTTTTTGAGAGTTCATCAAATACACTCATGTGTATTTATTTAAATATGTATTGTAATACCTCTCAGTTCTACCAAGGATTATAAAAACTGATCGAAATGGCTTCGTTTTTAAAGTATAAAAAACACTACCTGGAAGTAGTATAACATGAATATTGAAACCATGTGTAAACTGTAAATCACGTGAATTGGCTGATGCAATCAGGATGTGACTAGTACAAAGTAACTATGATGCAATCAGGATATGACTTGTGCAAAATAATTGGCTTCACCTAGAATTCGCGATCTTTGCTCTTTAGCATAACATGAAGACATGTTTTGTGTTTAAGTAGCTAGATTCAAATACAAACTAAATGAATAAAACATAAACCAACCATCATTTGTTCCAATCATGGCGAATTTTCAAGGAAATACGTGTAGGGTTAACCCAACTAATTGTTATAACATGCGTATTCCCATACAAACGATCTGTCTTCAAGAGAAAACTAAGATTTGTGGACATGTTTTACTATCATTGCATCATACCCCAGTATGTCCTCTGTCAGTCAAAAAAGTTTGAATCAAAACTCCCCACGAAAATCAAAAGATCTCACCTGTTGAAGACGCCATCTATAGAAAATGTCAAAAAATGTCATTCTGATTTTGACAGATGGAGGCAGGTCAAAAAGGTCAAATTTTTTAAAGAAAATGCACCTTAATCACATCAAATCATGTCTCAGAGTTGGTCCACACATACACTTTTTCATTCATGTACTTACCAAAATCCAACCACTGGTGATGCTAATGTAATTACAATAATTGGACTATATTTTTGTTTTTATAATGCCATCTATTCGTCTTCCCACTCGGCGGAAGGATCTAATGGTTGTGTGTCTCCTAATAGGGTTAACCCAACTAATTGTTATAACATGCGTATTCCCATACAAACGATCTGTCTTCAAGAGAAAACTAAGATTTGTGGACATGTTTTACTATCATTGCATCATACCCCAGTATGTCCTCTGTCAGTCAAAAAAGTTTGAATCAAAACTCCCCACGAAAATCAAAAAATCTCACCTGTTGAAGACGCCATCTATAGAAAATGTCAAAAAATGTCATTCTGATTTTGACAGATGGAGGCAGGTCAAAAAGGTCAAATTTTTTAAAGAAAATGCACCTTAATCACATCAAATCATGTCTCAGAGTTGGTCCACACATACACTTTTTCATTCATGTACTTACCAAAATCCAACCACTGGTGATGCTAATGTAATTACAATAATTGGACTATATTTTTGTTTTTATAATGCCATCTATTCGTCTTCCCACTCGGCGGAAGGATCTAATGGTTGTGTGTCTCCGTAACTGAATGTAAATCAACAGCGGAGCTCTTCAATTATGAGGTGAGAAAAATATAAAAATAAAAACAAAAATAAATCTCACAGAATGGAGCTATTTATACGATTCTAAGTACATTTTAAGTGCTCCATACATTAATGTAAGTATAAAAGCCATTAACCTCAACTGGGAAGCACTTTCCAACTATTTTTACGGCTTGAATTGAAAGAAAATGGCACTTATCTCAAAAAGTGGAAATTTGAAAGAAGCTCAATTTATTGTGAAGATGAAGTTTATATATATCTGTATATGGGGGTGCGAATATATAGTCATAGTATGGGCTAATTCGCTTAAAAATGGCGATATATACCTCAGAACTTGTATTTTGTGATTTTTTCAATATTTTAAAATTAATTACCGTAGTTACACCATAACGTATCATAACTTCCGGAAGAGGCGAGCTGGTAAGTATATTTCAGTTCTTTTGACAGTTCAATTTTACATGTCTTTAGTATTGTGCACATGCTCTATGTGGACAAAATTCAGCTTATAGTGTTACACCATTTAGTGTCTTCTACCTTTTAGGAGCTATGTAAGGGTCCCATTCATGAGATAACTCTTTTATTTCTAACTAAACTTCTTGCCTTTTATCATGCTTAACAGAGTGTATACAATGCATCGTAACTTCTCCAATTTTGATACAAGAAGCCCATGGTGAAACTTGGCATTTTTCATCCACAGACCATAGCCATTAGTAATTAGTAGAGCTAGTATTTTGGTTGAGGTAGAAAAAATAATATTTTCTCAACTCAAAAGTCACGCTTAGCGGAGAATGAGCGTCAGACCAGAAAGTCAATGGCAGAGAGGGTGCTTTCACTCAATTATCGCCCAGCAAAAAAATAAAATAAGCGTTCGAATGGTTATTGCAGTGCAAGATTTATACAAAGCTCATCTATAATAATGATAATTTGACTGCAAATTATCAATATCAATATATATTACAAAATGACATTGAAAGCACTTACGAATTCATGGCAATGGTGAATTAACTTATGCAATTCGAGACCGTTTCGAAACTTTTATTTTCTTGGCCAGCAACTGCTTTTCGGACAACTGCGCGCGTAAGAAAATAAAATGAAAGTATTACGATTTCATCATTTACTGAGCTTTCAAATCTATTAAAGCCTTGAATTGATACATGTCAATATTCTGTTTATTACCAAAATAACGATAGATTACCAAATCATGTTACTTTTATCACAATAAATTCGCGGAGTAATTATTTCGTCTGCTATAAATAGTGCGTCAGTCATGTGATTTTTATTCTTGATCAAAATGTCGAAATATCTGGTTGTGTTTTTGTGCACTCTTGCATCTGGCCTGGCTTTCCCCCAGGATCTGATGCTTGAACCTGTAGCTGAGCCAGGCGATGGCAAACACTGGGCACTTATTGTGGCAGGCTCAAGGGGGTGGTTCAACTACAGACATCAGGTAAGTTCAGTTTCAAGGAGCCATCCACATCAACTTGATCATAGATCTAATAGGAATTGAAGAAGAATCTATCTTGTATTACATATACCTGTATATAATTTCTTCTGGAAGAAGGAAGATTCCTATATAATCCAGATGATTTTACTATTGATTCTTACTAAGTAGGGGTCACTGGACATGGGTTACTATTACTAAAGGGTCTGTCATCTAGGGGTTGTAGTGGTACTTGAAGTGGAAGATGAAGATGTTTGTCGATTTCACCTTTGAATTGGTTGACATTGTCAGCTTCTATTGTGGACTGTAGGAGGTTGTGCCAGTCATTTACAATTCTGTTTCCAAATACATTCTTTCTAACATTTAGTCTACTGTATCTTGTGCTCAGCTTCTCTGTGTTACCACTGGTCCTATGGATTTCAGATTTTTGCGCAATGTGTGTGATACTGATTCTGTCAAGGCATTTCATGATTTTAAGATTTGGATAAAGTCCCCTCGTGTCCTTCTATACAGGAGTGATGATAATCTTTAGTCTAACAGTAGACTAGTCTAATAAAAATAGTCTAATACATGTAGTTTTGAAAATAGACAATGCGATGAAAGCATCCTTATTTTTGTCATCTAATCAGATGTTGATTAAAATTGGAAATTTAAATTTGAATTATTCCAAACAATATGAATATGCATGGGAAAACAAACATTTTGATTGCAGTGTATCTCAATAAATTAAGGTCTCTCTGCTAGTGATGCACATTATTGAAGTCAGCAAGATTAGGACAAAAAATAGGTGCACTAAATTCAATGACTCGTATGGGATTTGAACCAGAGACACCTCACTCACAGATATAATGTATATGCAGTTCATCTGAATTCAATTATGTACATATTAACTGCCCCAATGCATGTGCTTTCAAGAGAAACCCATGTTTAACTGTAACTGCTTCAAATGCACAATTCACACAATGTATTCGACATGTATTTTTAGGCCGATGCCTGCCATGCCTACCAGATCATGAAGAAACATGGTATTCCTGATGAGAGAATTGTTGTCATGATGTATGATGACATTGCAAATAACAGAGAGTGAGTAGTTGAGTACATGGGAATGTTAACCTACTTTCCAATATGATTTCACTTAACTTTAACTTTAAAATATATTAAATTCCTCACACCTGAATTTTTGTGCTTGATAGTACATTATGAAACCAGGAAGCTGTTTAGAATTTTGACTCACTGTATTTGACCTGTTTAAAACCCATGTTTACAATCTTTTATCATGTAAATGGGTCTTTCCTTCTTCCCTTTAAAAAAAGTTTTTATGTCACCACCAAAAGTGGTGACTTGTTATGGTCTCCAACTTTTTTGTGACAGGGTACGGCAGTCGGTGTTCGGTAACTGTAACAAATGGCAGGTAGTGACATTGCCTTGTTTTATGATGATATCAGTCTAACATAATTATATTCTAAATAAAAATATCATAACCATGTAAAATGATCACTTCATCCAAGGAAAACACTTTGCATTATAATTCATAACTAACTCTTACAACAAAGCGGGTAACACATACACACAGACTTCCATAGTGTACTTCACATTTATGAGCAATGAATAAGATCAAACAGTTATGTTGAAATAGTAAAGTAGAACAACATTTTCTCTTAAATAAACATAGCAGTACTTGATACATGTGCAGCAGCGCATATCACAACATTCTCAAAAAATTCTGTTTTGCACCAACAAGTTTTGTGTAGTACAGCTGTACTATTTAATAGACTGTTGTTTGTGTTTGAATTTTTTTTGTATTATTGAAATCATCTTTGAGAAAACACTTTTATTTGTTTGTCCGTCATTTGCTTATTATTTAACTTCATTATCCTTGGTAATAAATATACATTCATCCCCAAGTAATGGCTAGAAATATACCCTGAATGCTGTCTCCTAATAGTTAAGACAATTTTCAGAGTTCAGCAGTCAGGGCTATAGTGACAAAGTGACAAAGTAAATGGGATTCAAAGTGCTAAATCTTCCATAAATATGTAAATTTCCTCAAATAAAAAATGTGGTGACTACATCTAGATCTATAAAGAAATGAACATATTCTTGTAAATATCTAGTTTTCCTCAAAAAATATACATTTTTGGGATTTATAGAAAATGAACATGGCAAAGAATGATACGATAAAAATATTAAGACAATTTTTATTTTAAGGTTGCTCGAGCGCTAGATCTGATACTTCCTTTAAATTGGAATATTATTTGATAATGTATGATTTCAGGAATCCTACTCCAGGCATTGTGATCAACAGACCAGGGGGTGATGATGTCTACAAAGGGGTCCCTAAAGATTACACAGGGATGGTGAGTCTATATTACAAGAAATAGATCTTCACAAAAGTCATCCTTTGTCTTGCAGAAAATTATTGAATGAGAAACTAGGTTAGTAGTACCAGAAAACACATGTGATGATAAAAGATTATTTTTTATTTTTGCCTTAGAAAATTAGTACGAACATCACTTTACATTTTTAAACTTTTTTCTTGATCGTGCCCTTAGAGCCACTAGCATATATGGATCTTCACAAAAGTCATTTTTTGTCTTGCAGAAAATTATTGAATGAAAAACTAGGTTAGTAGTACCAGAAAACACATGTGATGATAAAAGATTATTTTTGCCTTATGAAATTATTACAAACTTCAAAAATTATCAAGATGCCACCATTTGACATTACATTTTTAGCACATATCATACTCAAAGTCCTTAATTGCAGCCATTTACAGACATTAATGAATATTCTGAACATGTTGTAAATGTAAGAAAACTATTATGTTGCATATTTGCAATTCATTCTTGAAATGCAAGTAAGCATTATATAATTTTATCTGTCAGTGTATTTGATCAAGTATCTATCTAAGGCTATATACTACTATAGCAATCTACATTAAATTTTTTGTATTCATATAATGTACAGAATAACATTTACTTTTTTTATAAAATGCAGATCAGTATATAAAATCATCAAAAGATTTTATTTGTGATTTCAGTTCATTCTCAAAGAGAACAAAATTATTGATTCAAAAATGTGTTTTCAAAAGTCAACTCTCCTATCCATCATGTGTAAATGTACATGTTAACTCTATTTACTGATCATGAATCGGACATGATATCACAACAATACCGCATGGTATATCATAATTCATCCCTATCAATCAATCCACAAATATCATAAATTAATATAAAATTATTTATTTATCACTTGTTTTTAAGGTCAACCTGATATCCTCCCTGTTGTATCTTTTAAGTGCTGTTCATCCCATGTTAACATATGTGAGAGTTGTAGAGTGGCTTTAAGAGGAGCACTGATCACATTTTAGTCATAAGACCTATGTATTTATGATCATAATGTCTGATTACATTTAACTTAGATGAAAACTACTTGAAAACTTGAATTGCCTATTGTTCTAAATTATCTTAAGATCGCTTCTATTTGTTCCATTGATATGAGGTGAAAATGATTTTGACTTTTTGATGTCATTTTGAATTTCTACTTAAAATGAAATGTTATAAATGTATTGTTTATCAAGTGGTTTATGAGTAAACAAGAAGTATTAATGGCATCATGGGTTTTAATACACTAATTAATTTATCAGGTGGATGTCATACCTGGATCATATGATACAATATAGAGTCTTGTGATGTTCAACATACATGTATCTGTTTACATTGTTTATTTACCTGAAGTTCACCCAGGTTACATCAGCCATTATATCGTTTTCCATGACTTTTATAGTTTATTAAGAGCTCCAAGCACAGATTTTGTAGTAGTATTGTGTAATTTAAAAACATGGACTCGACTCTGGGGCCTGGAATGCAGTAATAAATGATTTTAAAAACATGTATATTGTCTAACATTTTTAATCTTTTTCAGCTTTATTTATTTATTGTATGAGCTAGTATAAAGTTGAATAGTTGACAGCAGACTACAGCAGGGTGCTATTTAAACATATCATTTCAGGTACCTGGGCCTCAACATGTACTTAGTCTCACACTCTCTCTTTATTGGGATAATGTCTTACAAAAAGTTATTGATGTCTCCAAATATTGAAGCTGGACCCACTTGAGAATATAAAAACAGGCTTTTACCCATTTTGAACCTCATTTCCACAACTTTTAATTTGTTACACTAAAAATTCGCATATTTCTCATATTTGTAAGTCTAAAAATTCGCATATTTCAATTGTTCCTTCACAAATCCTTGAAAATGAAAATTTTGCACTCATGTGAATTATCTGAAGAGAGCACCGAATGTATGTAGTTTTACTTTTAATTTTACCTTTCTATTTATTTTACCATTTGAATAACTATGAATGGCATATTAGCATATGGAGATATATATATAGCTGTTCTTCCTACATATAACTACCTGGTATGTCTTGTTACAGGACGTAACTCCAGAAAATTTCTTGAATGTTCTTCAAGGAAATGAAGAAGCCATGAAGAACAAAGGCAGTGGAAAAGTCATTAAAAGGTATGTATACAATAGATATAAATGTGTACAATCCATATAATGTGAACAATACAAAACTTAATACATTAAAAACTGTCATCCCTTTAGAGTCTCATGACCCATAGATGCAATGTTAACTCAGACCCTCTGAAAGTAGAACACCTCTAAACTTGAACACCTTTAAGAGGTACCAAAGGTGTTCCAATTTCACAGGTTTTACTGTAGGCTTTATAACCTGAGAATGGTCAGGGCACTTCTTAAACTGTAAAACTTTCCATATTTTTCTTGAATTCAATATTTATCCTTAATTATTTATTTTTGAACTTCGAGTCAACAGGAATATAATTTATACACTTTTATGAGAGAGTTAATTACTCTCGTAGATGACCTGGGATTTGAAGTATTTTATATGCTGACCTTATGAGATGCAGTAAACATCATTTGGTACTTGAAATCAGTATTTCTCTAAATTGTTCATAGTTTTGCTAAATGTTTGTTTTCAAGTTGCCCCTGTTAGTGGTGATCAACAGGCAGACAATACCATAATTTGTAATTTGCTAGCTAACTATTATATTTCATTGTCTATGGAGAGTTTTTGAAGACTTTACAATAACTTAGATAATAAAGACCAATTTTGTGATTTGATCTTAAAGCGGCAAGAATGATCGTGTGTTTGTCAATTTTGTGGATCATGGTGCCACTGGATTGGTCGCATTCCCAAGTGGATTGGTAGGTTTTGATGTCATATGACATACCTCTGTGTCATGTGACATACTGTAGTTGTCATAGGTTTTGTCATATGGTAAAATTGGCGTTATTTTACAGTCATGTATCATGCATAGTGCAATCAGAGAAAAAAATATATACATGTACATTATGTACCGAAAAACAAACTTTAAATGTATGCATTGTACTGTACATGATTTGCCATATTAAGGTAGTTTCACATCTTCATTAACAAAAGTTAAAAAATGATTTCATGAAATTTCATATTTGAATCAAAATATTTTGACTTTAAATGAGTCATTCTTCCATAATGTGTAAATGTCTTCGTTAAATAGTGCCAAATATCAATTTCATCAATATTATTAAGTAATGACAATCATGCAATTTCTCACTATGTGTATCTACCTTTAGCATTTATCATATGGGATAATATGGCAACTACATGCATGCTGTGTTTTATATTCTTCAATTTACTAATCAACTTACTGTATGCCTATTAAAAGATTGCATTGATCTGCCTGGTTTTTAGCAATTTCTTGTATGTACCTTTAGCATGCTTATTTATAATCTTTTAACATTTTTTTAAGATCTTTCTTAGTTCTTTTTATTAGTGTTCTCACTTCTCACTTACTAATATCCATGTATTTGGTTATCTTTGGGCTGGTTGTATCTAATTGTCAGCAGTTTTGGAGGTTCATTTTGTTAGGGGAGGGGGTAAAATTTAAAAAAACAAATTATCAAATTTTGTTATATTGGGATGCAGAGGTTTAGCCATAACAAAATTTACACAAATGTTATCAAAACAGAAAAATAACATGAATTGATAATTGACCATTCAGTTGAAATTTTGGTGTCCTATAGTAACCTCTATAGTCTAGTATGGTATAGTGGTATAATATAGTATAGTGGCTTATGTTTATTACTTTTAGTGGACCTAATGACCATGTATTTGTTAACCTTGTGGATCATGGTGCACCAGGGATATTTGCATTCCCATCCAAGTTTGTAAGACATCTTCTGATTTCTTCTGCTTTTGGGGCTTCTGATACAATCCAGTCTAATGCAGGCCCTAAGAAATGATTAAACATAAACTGTGGTACAGTAGATTACCTAAAAACATTCATAAAGTTAAGATTGGCAATATTTTCTTGGGGTTTGGCTACAGACTGAATACCTGAATTAATAATCAAATGTTTGTTTTATTTGCAGTTTAGTTTTCCCACAAGGAAATAACTTGCTGTAAGAAAATACAGATAATATGTATATTATGAGGTTATATAATGGTTCTTTCTGTATATCGTGTTTATACTCGAGTGAGTATATGATATATTCACAAGTGAGCGTAGCGAACGAGTGAATATATAATATTCTCACGAGAGTATAAAATGCACGATATACAGAATGAACCATTATATAATCTTATTATGCCACTCTAAGTTCAATTACAGTTGATTCGAACACAATCATAACAATTAAAAACCCTAGAAATATCCCATAGCCAACTCAATAATGCTGATGTTGATCTCGAACCATTTATGACGTGGCTTGATTCTAGCAAATCATGCCGGAACCATTTATGACGTCACTTGATTCTAGGAAATCATGAACATTTTCATGATTTTTTTATTCATTAGTTCCCAGAATGCACTTCTACAGTGGTATACGCTGGAGTGTATACGGAGGAGTTGTATACGATGACGATATACCACTCTCCACTGTATATCGTTGTTATAGACCCATGTTATACAACTGTAATTGGACTTAGAGTGGTATAAATAATTATATACATATAAATATAATATATATAATATACATGTAAATATAATTAACATTCATAGATGCCTCAACTGCTGCAGATATAAATTATTTACTTTTTTACTAAAACTTAAAAACTAAAATTATGTTATATTTTTAGTATGATAATTCTCTTTGACTTAAGTTTTAATTTTTTGCATCATTTATTTACAAAAAGTCATAGAATGTTCTGCTTATGCATATGAATGATATAAAACGAATTACACGTTGTCAATGTCATAGAGATCTGACCTCAACAATGTGATAAATTCTATACATGTATTCCATTCTTGCACTATGTTGTTACATTTTTTATGCACACCAAATATAGATGGAGTTTGTTTTAGGAGCTGCATTATCATAGGTTGGTTCAAATACACCACTTGATTAAAGGTCAACCTTACTGAGAAACAATCATAAGTAGTCCAGTGCTTGAGTTTTATTTTCTAGTGGAGCGAAGGATAATGTTTTCGTTACATTTATTGACCATGGTGCACCAGGGCTTCTCGGGTTTCCTAATATTTTCTTCAACAGAGTAAGAAGCAAACGGAACATACCTGCATGTATGTTACACACTATGACACATATTTAGGTGACACATATTCAGAATGACACATCATATGACATGTATTATATTTAAAGACACTGCTTACATAAATCACTTATTTTAATGCAATATAACACATATTGTATTATAGAGTATGAATATTTCTAGTCTGGCATCAAGACCACAATTCCTCAATTATGAATTACTCAGTGGTATAGTTAAAAAGAAGAATTCAGAGATATGATGCAAGGCTACTATTATTACATATATTACCTTCGTTTTGGTCAGGAAAATGAATTTAATAACTTTGATCATAAATATGGATAAACTTCAAAGTATAGTGCTTTACACCTGCGTTTTTGGCTTCAGTTATACATTTCACTGTCTATTTGCATGTAACACATTACTTTACTGTATACTTTATCGTAGTTCCATCTTTTACACTTCTGATAAATATTAACACTTTTGTATGTTTTTGCATGTAATTTTTCCATATATTATAGACTATTGCATGTTCTTGCACCCTATTGCATGTTTTTCACACTATTGCATGTTTTTGCATACTATTGCATGTTTTTACACACTATTGCATGTTTTTGCACACTTTTGCATGATTTTTCTCACTATTGCATGTTTTTGCACTATTGCATGTTTCTTCAAATAACCATCCTGCATAAATAAATAAATTACAAATACCACTTTGTATATTGTATAATAAAAACATGTATAACACTAAGGATTTATTCTCTAATCATTGCAATGCAATATTGTTGAATACTTTTACAGTGAATGTACAGCATATCATATTTCATACACAATGTCTCAATTTATGAATTAAGAATTGTAATACTGTAAAGTAAAATCTCTTTTTGGCAACACCACTCAATTTGATTGTTTAGTTAATACAACATTTACTTAACATATTGCAATAAATAACTGTTGTAAAATATAATTATAGATTACATGTTATATCATCATTCATCATGAAGTTATTTTTTCATTTTTATAGCTTCATGCCAAGGATTTAAATCAAGCAATTAAAAGCATGTACGAAGCCAAGAAATATGCACAAGTAAGTTTAATGTAATTCGCCTCTTATTTGCTCATACACAGCTGAAACGTATTTGCATCTTTAAAGGCTACGGGAAACCAATAAAACATTTTCATTTATACTCTTTCAAAATCAAGTGGCTATAATAGAGAGTATTACATACCTAGCGAAATATTTGTATGGAAGTCAATGGGAAAGTAAGCAGGTTATATTTTCAAAAATGATCACAACATTAACAGAACTAAGCAGTGACATGGCTATAGTGTAGAGTAGTCTCAAACTATATTTAGATAAAAACAATACAGTTACACAGCAGGTTTTAATTCTTCGTTACAAATCATTTTGACGAAAAACTTTGTAATAAGGGATTTTTGAGGTATTAAAGAGGCACAAAATCCTTCATTATGAAGCTTGATGTCAAAATGCTTCGTAACAAAACAGTTTAACTCTGCTGTGTAACATGTACCAATGTAGCTTTTTTCCCTTAGCTTATAAAATCAAATAATCCATGAACCTCAACTTTGTATTTCCAGATGGTATTCTACATTGAGGCCTGTGAATCTGGGTCCATGTTTGAAAATCTCCTTGCCAAAGACATAAATGGTAAATATATGTACAGTAAAACCTGTCTAAGTGATCACCTCTCTCTCTCGTGCACACCTGTCCCTAGTAGACACCCTTCCTTCACACATACTCAGTATGTATTCTGTAGTGAACACCTGCCTACAGTGAACACATTTGTATGGCTCCATAGGTGTTCACAGTACACAGATTTCATCCTGAATAAAATACTGAAATTTCAGTTAAAAAGATCTGTTTTTCAAAATATGTTTGTTTGTCAAATACTTCTCTCAATACATGTCAGTATAATTATCTGTTAGTCTCAATTCCTTGGTGTAACCTCTATGATTTTCATCACTTTCCAGTGTTTGCCACAACTGCTTCTAATGCCAAGGAGTCCTCATATGCCTGTTACTTTGACAAGAAGCGCAGGACTTACCTTGGGGATGTCTACAGTGTCAAGTGGATGGAAGACTCTGATATGGTAAAAATAAGATGCACTTTTATGGGATAAAATATTTCATTATTATTTTTACATAAAGAACATGCATAGACAAAATCAGTAAATAAATTTATTCCATTGCACATATACAGTCTTTGAATTTACTGCTTGCCAAAGTTGAAATACAGACCAGTAGTGCCCATGTTATAATATTTGGTTCCAGTTCTTAGGGCTGGTATTTATGTGGTAACCTTGTTCCTCTGTTACGTACTGTGAAATTTATCCATAGCTCAACACCCAGGTTGAATATCTTCATATCTTTGATTCTGTTTCTCAATCTGGTTTTAGGAAAACTTGAACACAGAAACCCTGCAGAAGCAGTTCAAGATTGTGAAGAAGGAGACCAACACGAGTCATGTCATGGAATATGGAGATATGGTAGGTTATTCATTCTGCAGGATTTCATTCATAATTTCAAAGTGTATGTGTTCTTTATCTTGTCTTGTTATAACAGCAGACATTACAATCACAAAGATCAAAAGCACATTGGAGAAATGAAGAATTTGTTACCAATTATATGTTATATTAACATGTAGTTCAAGTCTTTTCTAAAATAGGGTATTTGAGACATATCACCTTGTCAGATTCAAAACAGTGGTTTTTCTGAATATATAATAGTCCAGCGGAATAATGGCATATTGAAACTTTTGGTTGCCTTCTAGGATGTATGCTATATCTTTGTATTTTCTTTATCTATAAGTTAATTACTTTCAAAATCAGAACTGTGCCGGACTGGCACTGGTGGGCAAATTTTTTTACAGCATTGTATAGGTGGCGCCCCTTGTAAAATGCCCATTTCACAAAATATTTTTTTTAAAGGGCTGTTGGTAGAGTTGAAAACTTTAACCAATTCAGATAAACTGTATTTAGTCTAAACAACATGTCAACTATGTTTCATCACATAGAATCACAAATTTAATGAGATATGCTTGATTTGTTACCCTAGCACCACCTATTTTTAAGGGGTCACTATGTTTAATAAGCATATTTTGCAAACTAAACAAGATTGTGATCTGAAATTATCCATGACTTTAAATTAACCCATGCCAGAGATAGTGTGGAAATATGAGACTTGTATTTTATTTAGTTGAAGAGAAAATAAATATATTAACATAGACTTCCTTGTATTCAGCAATATTAATATGTATGAAAAATATCACTGTAATCACTGTGAAACATTGAAAAATATAATATCAGCAGATTCTGTGAGTCTATCTATCAAACTAAGCTATTTATGTAAGATACAGGTTCTTTAAATTAAAATATTTCAGAAAATTATAATGTATACCCTTTTATAGAGGGAGGAAGGGGGGGGGGGTTAGATGACAAGTTTGAAATGTGAAAGAAACTCATTGTTGACAGTGTAAGTAGGTCATCCCTGCTTATAAGGGTCAAATTTTAGACCATTTATTGGAAGTGTTACATCTGTACCAGGGACACCATAATTCTGGGGCTACACTACTAGGTTAGCTAGGACTAGTGGCGCCATCATTTAACCTGCAATAAAACTTGCCTACAGCCAACTCCTTGATGTTAAGTCAGTGGACCCAAGCACAATGTAAACCATCATGCATCAGGCAAAGGAGTTGACCCAAACATATAAGCAAGATTACACAATTTTGAGAACGCACCAGCAGTTGTACAAAGTAGCCACTGATGTCATTTTCTGGACCCCAACAACCTTTATTATACATTCATCAACAGGTTCGGGGCATGTGCATGCTCATGAGTTTTGTTGGTTGTGTCGGCATCCTAATGTCAGACAGTTGAATAGTAGAGATACCCAATTTGCTGGGGAAACCAAGATCAACAGGCAAGAATTACCCTAACAATGTTCAAGCATTGAGACTCCTTGCTGAAGAATTTTCGAGACAAGTAATTCATCAGGTAAACAGCTACCAGGAACTCATAGATGTTCTTAACACAACACTAAATTGTCAGAAAGAAAAGTACAAATGCCAGTATTTATCATTGTGCAACTTGTTAGGGCTGAAAGGGAAGGCAACTGGCTGCTCCGTTTGGCTGCTGTTGATCAATCTATGCTTCCCCATTTCGTTTCTGCATGACAATATAACTAGTAAGCACTGTTCTGTCAGACATGGGGAGACATCCACAGAATGTTGTTGAGTTTCTACAAGGACAGCATGTCACCCGTCATCCCATTTGGAATGGAATCTGGTTAGATATGATGATAGAGACCACTTATTAGTACCAACAAAATGTTCTGCAAAGCAAACCCAATGTCCTGTTAAGATCCCCTATTCTTACCTTTGAAAATGGATTATAGCAATACTATCCCACATGAATCTACTTGTTTAGACTCAATCAACTGTTCTTCTGAGAAAATGATGATTTTAGCAAGGATGCATTGACTGAACATGGGGAAAGAGCCATTGACCATTGACTTAGTCTGGGGATACCTTTAGGTATGTCCCCATGTTAAGTCAATGCACCCTTGCTGAAATCCTCAATTTCTCAGAAGAACTCATTAATCTCAACAAGTAGATTCCTATTGGGTGATATTGCTAGAATTCATTTTCGAAAGTTAGAATAGGGGTTCTTAAATGGGACATTAAAACTCAATTAGGGCCTTTTTGATATTTTTGTTTAGTACTATATTAGGTACGGCCATGGACCATCTGGAATCATAGGCAACTCATTCAGTCAAACACTTCTCTGAGATCTCAGCATGCATATATGCAGTCAGATCCTCAACTCAATATCCAGGACCTTGGTGAAACTGTCAATGCCCAATCCTCTATTGTGACCAGACACAAAGAAGAGAGCCTCACAAATGTTGAGGCTCACTGCATAGACAGACTGAAGCTCAGAGAATCATTGAGTGCTGTAATCGATCCTCTAGATCCTATGATCCAGATCCTATGAACCACTGACTTCAAAGGTAATATATAATATTTGATATTAGAAAAAGTTTCATAGGTCTGTCTTATTTATATAACCTTTAAACCTCTATTCTCTATTTCAGTGATTAAGATTTAATTTTTATTATTTCATATAGTTATGCTCAAGGTTGTCCATGACACCAATCTCATTTACTATCGAGTTTGAGCCTGGTAATAAACTGGCAACTTGATACAGGGGTGCCAGAAGGATTTCGCAAGGGAGGGGTTTGGAAATGGATGGATCGTGCGTGAAGCGTGGATGGATGCCCTCAGAAAATTTTCAGATTTAGATCCTCTCTGGTACATTCTGAACATGTCTCAGCACAACATTCCCAAAAAACAAGAGAAAATTGTGTTTTAAGAAAACTGACATTGACTTTGAATTTTACTAAAATATACATTTTGCTCTTATTCTCCAAAGTATTTACATACTGTATTGGTTCCTTAGAAACGAAGGTACAGAATAACATATGTAAATATCTTAATGAGAAATGAGATCTGGCTTGATATAGACTAAATAATGGCATAGTATCATTTGACTTTAATAAGCTCTCAAAAGCTTTCAAATTCTAGCCTCAGTTTCAAATCCAAAAAAATCTGGGAAAGGGAGGGGGCGGTTACCCCCAGCGCCCTCCCCCTTCTGAAGCCAATGTTGATATGAAAACTATCAAGTCATTGAGCTGGGCCAATGGCACCCATCCCCACCTCTATGTTTGATGAATCTGGTAACCTGAAAACATCAACAAACAAGTATGTTATGAACAGCAAAACTGGAAGTAAAAATATCAATGTAGTATGTGAAGACACTAGTGTCTTAATCCTATTGCTTCACTACTATGAAAAAAACACTATCTAATTGCTTATGTTACTCTGGAGTCTGTGTCAACTTCCAACAAAAATGTCACCTCACAACTTCTTGCTGCCCTCAGCCTGACAGACTGTGACACAACATCTAGTCTATACCGCATAGGCAAGACTAAAGCAGTTAACACCAGACTGGAAATGCTCCTTTAAGCTGGATTGGAGAAGACAACATACCAATATCTGATGTAAAGACACAGGCTACTAAATTCACAGCAGCATGTTATGGTATCAATCCAGTCATCTGATGTTAGATATGATGTGTGGACCAAGAGAAATGCTGCCAGAACTACAATCATTGCAACCTTTTTGGAAACATGCTCATCTACAAACATCCCTGTGTAAACATGCAGCCCAACCCTTACCTCCTAAGTTGCAACCAACGGAGTATGGCTGGCAAATGGATATTGTCAACAACATATTAGTGTCAGTTAATCTTATTTATGTGCACCAGACTCAGTGCTAAAGATGATACATTGTACACGTGAGAAGTGTGCCAGCAATGATATCATTTGTGGTATAGATTGTTGTCTGTGCTGTAAGACTACTTTGTCATGCAGTATATTTTGCCTTTGCAAAGGTGAAGAGTGTTGCATAAACATACCAGACTAATGGTCACATTCACCAATGAAACAAATGATGATGATCTTGATGATGGAATTGTTCTGCAAGCTGTCCAAGAAGTACTGGATAAAGAGACCAAAAATGATACCCTTGATAACGGAATAAAAGCTGACACTCAATGAGCTACAATATCTTAAAAATTAGTTTATTATGACAGAAACAAATTTTTATGAACATTATTTCAAACCCTTTCATCATCCAGTAACTATCTAGCCAAACCTGTATGAAGTTAATAAGTATTCCACGTTAACACCTACTAATTGGCAGAATGTCCGGTAACATTACCCCCCCCCCTCTTCAAACATGGTGGCATGACCATGGGCTTAACTAAACAATTAGTACTTAATCCTTGATTTCTGTTTTCATGTGTTAAAATTAAAATAGTTACTTCATATAATAAAATGTATTTAAATCCATGATGGTGTTAGGATAATTTAATCAAAATAGACTTTTGAATGTAACTTTTATACAAATTGCATATCGTTGAATATAGGATATACTGTAATAACAAATAATTTTTTTCTCTTAAAATATATAAGACAGGAACGTTTTATTTTAACACCATCCAAAACATGTATCAAGTCATATCTATGAATAATGTAAGATCACAATTACGCTTTGTTCAAATTTTATGCCTTCAAAACATAGTGACCCCTTGGAATATATGTGATATCAGGGGGGATAAATGACCAGTTCTCTGTAAATATGAGATTTTAGGTAAGGAAAAAAAATAGACATGCTATTAAGGATATATAACAGGTTATACTAGGTGGCTTGAGTTAAAGGCTCTACTCAAGATCATTTAAAAAAAATTCCTTAATTAAAAGGGTATTTCATAGGGGGCGCCACCTATACAAGGCTGTAAAAAATTTTGCCCACCAGTGCCAAACCGGCACAGTTCTGATTTTGAAAGTCAATTACATATAGATGAAGAAAATACAAAGACATAGCATACATCCTAGAAAGCAACCAGGTCCATCGATTCCGCAGGACTATAATAGCTATATACAGATACAATATATACTATATAATATGATAGCTCTTTATACTTTTTTACATCTGATACTGTTTTATACAATTTTCTTTTTATTAAAGGCAATATCCAGTGAACCTGTAGCTGACTTCCAAAGTGGTGAAGATTTTGTCCCATTCCACAAAGAAAAACTTCCTCCAGTAGAGGTTAGCAAAGACTTTTACATACATGTCCTGTATATCTAATTTTACATGTTTACATTTTTTTCCCCTTTGTTTGATACATGTTTACGGTGATGGAGGCAATTTTTGAGTTTTTGAAATTCAATAATTCTTGAAAGATCTAAAAGATCTTCCCCATCTTCTCTCTTACAATACATTTATGTTAACATTGAATGAGTGTGTATTTTAGCTAAATGCGGTTCCCTCTGAAGAGGTCCCCCTAGCTATACTCTACCATTCTCTTGAAGATGCCACATCAGAAAGTCACAAAGAAAGCATACTGCAACAGATCAGGGACATTCAGGACGTGAGTTTATGTTCCATCAAACTTTGTATTGTATTCTAAAATTACTTTTAAGTTGTTGGAGGTTTGAGTCTGAAAAGTGATGTCAGTTAATTTTAGTTATCATTTAAGAGCAAGTGTCATATGAGATTTGATGTCAACTAAGAGCTTTATACAAAGTGTATTACAATGGAAGAAAGACAACCAAGGTGTATGTTTTCTCCCTTTTCCAGCTCCATGAATCCGTGAAAACAACTGTAAAGCATATTACTGCCCTGACAACCAATGACCATGTTAAGACAGAGAAGTTGATCTCCGTACGTCACACTCTCCTGAGCCACGACTGCTACATGCCAGCTGTAGATGCCTTCAATGATAAATGCTTCAACTTGTCAGAGGTGGGACATCTGATGTTTATGTTATGATTACAAATTCATAAAATTTAACATTAAATGAGATATTTTACGATTTACTATTAATCAATGTTAATGTCTTTAGTTATCTTCATTAAAATATATTTTACCATTTAATTGTCTTTTTTAATTTGATTTAATCATTTGTGCTCATTTCCAGAATGACTACGCTTTGAGACATCTGTATGTCCTCGTGAACTTGTGTGAAGAGAGGTATTCCTCTAGCACGATCATAGAAGCCATCCAGAAAACATGCGCCTAAATTCAGATATTATTTCTGACGTGGTTGTGACATTGTGTCAGATGCTACATCTGTTATTGTGTATTGTTTGACACTACTGCAATGTCAATCTGTATGACATCAGTTTTGTATTTGACACCATTGTGACATCATCTCTGTGATGTCATATTGAACTACATTATGATGACATCTCTTACACACATACCACCATTTGATCATTCCATTGTAATTAATGACATTTCTGTCCCAATTATGCTCACTATAAAGTTTAAAACTTTGAAGACCAAATTGACAGTATAACACAAATGATTTACAACATATTAGGCCAACGATGAGATTCATTCACATCCTGGCGTATGGGTGCAAATTGTGTTATTCTGATACTCTGGCCTTGATAATAACACCTCCTGATAGACTAACTCAGTGTAAAGTTATATATTCAGAAAAGATATATAAAGATATATGGAGTATAAAGTACTCATAGTCAGTGCAATACAGTGTATATAAAGCTTTATATTTTATTAATGAATTCAGAAATAATGTAATAATGTAAATGATGCAGTGTCACTTCTCGCCATAATTTGACTCAACTACGATATATGCAATATGTTATGAATCTATATGTTGATCTGTAGTTGAATTAGTAAATGTAATGATTATTTTTATATACATAATGTACATGTATCACAGTGTTCTGTTTTACATTAGGATTATACCATTTAATTGTATAGTCAGAATTTTACTTGTAAAATGAATTAATAACACACACAGTGTACTTACTGCTTATATTTTAATTTTATAAGTATAAATAAAATAAATTCATAATGCTTTACAAAATTGTTGTCTGTTACCCATATTGGATGAGAAGCTAATTAGTATTATTAAGTAGTAATGAAGTGTCAACAGTTGTGGAACAATAATGCTTATTTCAGCAACAATGCTTATTTCAACAACAATGCTAATTTCAACAACAATGCTAATTTCAACAACAATGCTTATTTCAACAACAATGGCTATTTCAACAACAATGCTTATTTCAACAACAATGCTTATTTCAATAGAGGGCAGGGAAGACATGATGATTTCTGTAACAGATTGATTTTTGCAGCAGGAATGTAAGTGAACCAACATTTCAAGTATTGTTATAGGGTAGGAGTGTCTGCATTTTGATACCATTCATAAATCAATAGAAATCAGAAATTATGTTCGAGTGGATGTTTGGATTATGTTAATCAACAGTAAGGATTGCCTGAGTGATAGACTGATTTGATAATTCAATTCAATTTCATATAATATGGTAATTCAATTGTATCGTTGTGGGTGTTCAATATACTTAAATGTTTGACAGTTCAGGCTGACTTTTATAGCAACAAAACAATTCTAATGATAAATGACAACACTAAAACAATTGGAGTTATAAATCAATTAAATGGAAAATGACTATGACGCAACAACTCACGATTCTGTGATTTATGGCAAATATAGTGTATATGATGGGATTCATTCTTTTTTTCTTTTTACATTGATCAGTAAAAATTGGCAGTCATATATTGCACCATTAATCATGAATAGAGTCATCAGGATTTATCCATTTAATACTAAAACACCCAGTAACATATAAAATTATCAACAACACGATATATAATGTAGTACATATTTTATTAGATTTATTTTCAAATTATATTATATTTGAAGTCAATTCAATCAATAAGTTACGAATTATAATGTGAGATGTAATTTGACAAACTACACTCCACCTCAAAAAATGTTAATCGGAAGTCCTGTTTAGGCCATGTGTTTATGTTATTCTTATCTTTGCCAATTTCAAAGTCATCAGAATCATCTGATTTATTGTAATCGTACAAAAATAAGATTCAAAATAAGCAGCTTTCAACACATGACCCAATTTGAACTTCCAGTTGCCAGTTTTACTGAGTGGGTGTATCATGGATGAAATACATGAGTGATGATTTACAGCGTGATATGCTTGGGAATGAAGACAATGAACATGAGGAAATGTCCAACAAAGGCACAAATTAAAATTAAAGCTAGGATACCACTAGGCTGTAAGTAAGAGTGGGTATATCCTGGTATATCAATAAATACAAGATACATGTAGTTCAACAAGAAAATAATGTCATTTGACAACATTGTACAGGTACATGTAATGTAATTATTGCATCTGAAATAGTGTTTAACGTCAATCGTAATGAATAATATGTGATGCACTTTATCACCATTTTAAAATTAATGTTTCACGCTCAAGTATTCATAATATATTGTACAATATACCAGTCGTTGCTATAGTAGCATACTGTATGCAAATGTATACATAAATTTATATTAAAATAATATTCTATACAATAATCTAATATTTGGTATTAAGTAAAAATAAATGTTTAATTTGTCTACAGACATAGACATAACCATAGAGATCTACTATCAATTAATTAGACCTCCATGTACAAAGCAGAATCTTCAAAGCAAATAAATAATGTTGTCATGGTGATGGTTTAATGTGGAAAGTGACTTTAAATAGATGGCGACCCTGTGTTGGGTAATTTGCACCATGTTACAAAATCTGAATAATACAATGCATTGTACATCAATAATACAACATGGGATAACACAATCATGGTGTATCTCTCTCAATGTAAGAATAAAGTTATGCAAAATAACTTTTTGCTTGATCATTACAATGTTTTTATTGTCATGGCTTAGTTTGCATGTAGTCATGTCAAAACCTAAAGTTATTTTGACAGGTGGTTCTTTGTGCAGTTACTACTATTAAGTGAATGTTGCCATGTAACTCAACCATTTGTGACCATGGAATCCTTATGACCTTATTCTTTACATGTGACACTCTTAGAGGCAATGAATCATGACACGACACTAAGGCTTGACATATAAGGCTTGACACATACGGCTTGACATAGCAGATTGATCACTGGTAGCAATCTAAAGCAAACATTTCAAATTCAGAATCATGTACTATTTAAAAGAAATAGATATATTTATGTGCATATGTCCCTCACTAAAATGGAATGTTACGTTCTAATTTCTCAGGGCCCCCTTATCTTATCTTCAAGGTTCATTTAATTCAGAAGAGGTTGTGCAACCCATAATGGCAATGATGTGTCAAGCAAAATACAAGAAACTTTTATGTATTAGGCCTTTAATTCAATTGATGTTTACAATCTTAAATGGCAAATCAAAGAACAACATTTCCTTCAAATATTTCAATCCCATGCCATGATATTTCAAGCGGTATACAAACATAGAAACTCACTACATATATCTATTTAGATAATTAAGCATTGATTGTTTTTTTTTAAATTGAATGTTGTAAAAAACCTTCCTATTTGAGCCAATATGTTAAATTGTGTGTCTAAATGTAAATTTATATCAAAATTGAATTTAAAATACAATCTTAAAAAGGTAAGAACTTCTGAGTACTTTTCATGCAATTTTCTACATTAATACAAGTTTGCTACTCTAACCTATGTTTGTGAAACTACAGTAAGAATTAAGTATTTAGCTATAAAAATATCAAAATGAGCATCAGTGAATCAAAACATGAGACCAAGTCAGATTTGAGAACTTAAACGTTTAATTTGAGGCTATTTTTGAGGCTTTTTATCAAGATGTTGAGTATTACAAGTATCTTAACAATTTCACTAAAAATAAATGACACATATTCCTGTTTAATATCTTATAAATGAAAAGGTATGAGATTCGACCAAACATTGTAAATATATTATAAGAAACATACTTGAAATAATAACATTGTTTTTAGCCTTTTGTCGAGGCAAAACCATGTGATCTCATAATGTTCCATAAATATCATAACTGAAGTATTTTCAATGTGTTAACTATTACGCTACCATCTAAATGTAAAAAAGGCGTCCCAAAAGCCTCTTATTGTAAATATTGTGGATCTCGATATCCGACTTTCAATTGTATTTCATGATATGAGCATTGGTAAAGTTGTCAAATTCATAAGAATTTTACCAATCGTTATCAACGGTTTTTTCAAAACTGTACCCCCTGATTGATGTAATTCTAATTCAGATCTACAAACATGTGCAGTGCAAGACAAACATCTGCAAATAGAAATGCAGTAAAACCTGCATATCTGAACACCTCTCTAATCTGAACACCTCTCAATGTGAATGCTTTTTCTTGATCCCATTTTGTTATCTCCACTTGATTCACATATTACAAACCTTGAAATGTGAACACCTGCTAATGTGAACACTTTTGATCAGTCCCAGCGGTGTTCAGATTAGACAGGTTTTACTGTACTACAATTCTTGTACATGTAATTGCATTAAAGGTAATGACTAATGAAAGACTCAACACATGCTCCCTATGAGAAACCTCATCTCTGATTTGAACTCTATGAAGTGCTACTTCAAACTGTAGCATGATGCACTTTCTCATAAAGATATTCATTTTGAAAAACTTAAAGCATTTTAATTTTATAAAATGTGTATTTGTGACCCAGGGGTCAACCCTGTATGTTTAACAAGAGCCTTTAACAGGTTAACTAGTGTGTATTTCACTTTGCTCCTTTGTAAAATATTTGCACTTCAGAAATCAGATCTTTAATAATCTCATTGGAATACTCAGATCTGTTTCGTATTAAAATTGATGTTTCTCGGCTTTCCACTTAAGACCGGGCTTAAGACTAGTCCAACTTATGCACTTAGCTTCCTTGCAGCCATGGAACATTTTCAAATACCAACTATTGCCTCAGACATGTTACGATCTTCTACAAAGTTCCTCAAGCATTGTAGCTCATATCATAAATGTATGCTTCTCACACATAATATCGGTTTGAACTTCCTTTGATTCTTCTGCTTATGTCAATAATAAACTGTGAACTCCTTACATCATGAACAAACCATTATCAAGAGGCTTTTGTTGGAGTTCCAATCCTTTCTCTAATCACCTGGCCCGTTTTATCAGATTTTTTTGGTATTCTCCGCCTATTATGTTTCAATTTTGCGATATCTTCACCAAAAACATCACCAGTTCTTAAAGCTGATATGAGTTCATCAAATTCACCTGAGTCCTCATGGCCACCATTTTGTTTTCTCTTGGTGGCACTTCCTAATTTTTTATTACGGATTTTCTCTTCTCGTGCCTGAAAAGTTTTTTTTTAGTAATATGATTTATATGGGTGAAAAAGTGATGCATGTATTGAGTATGTTCCGATTTGTAGAACTGGGCATCCTCCAAACGTAGGGTTCCAGACATCAAGAAGGAACATGGATGATTATGTCTGGCGTCCTATATTCAGAGGATGTTCAGAACACAGAGCTAAAGTATTATGTTTCAAATTGATTTTGGAACAAATATCAACCATTCAATACCCAAACCAAAATTGTTCACTCAAACTAATGTTGGGAATGCCTCAATATTGAAATGTTTTACGAAATACACAATCATCCAACAATATGCTAAAACATTTGCTAAAAATTCGACATTATTTGACGACAAAATTCATAAATATTTTAAAAACGTTAACCCTTGAGAAATTTCGCATTATCTTCATATTGTTTTACCTTTGCTTCTAGCTTGGCTCTTTTTTCTTCTTCCCTCTGTTTTTTCATTCTTTCATTTTCTCGAATAGCATCTTTGAATGATTTTAGGAACAGATTAAAAATACCAAAGAATTCATCTGGTTGTATGCGCTTCACATCTTCCCCAAAGTTGTTGACGGCTTGTTCATACTGAAATCATGAAAAAACACAAACTTTCTCCAATTCCTAATCATTAATAGTACTATTGGGTACCACAATAGTGAGGTTATTCATTTATTTTTTTCTTGACAAAAATAAAGGATAAAACCAGGAAAATAATACCAAGCAAAGAAAGCGATCTACAAAACAGTAAAATGGCAGAGTAGAAATTAGATTCTAATATGATCAATGATGTTACAATAAAAGAACAATTGAATTGGAGGAGCATACATGTCACTAGAGTATGAATGACTTCTGAATCTGCCTGTGGAAGTTATAAAAAAAACGAAATGAGCTCTTTTAATTTCATTCCTGGTTTGTTTATGCAACATGTGTTACCTTTGATTTCATATCAGACACCAAGTCCTCGACTTCAGAAAAGTTGTATTGAGCTATAGTAATAAAGTCACTCATCACGGAGACAAACTTATCACCATCATCACAGTTTCTCTGATATTCAAGTTCCTGAAAATATAACAAGCATAAATATTAGGGATGCGGCCCAAATGTTGAGTTCATTTCATTATGATTAAGTTTCTCCCACTATACCATATAATGAAATCTAGTAAATGTAGTTTGTTATTACAACATTCTACATAATGCTATCATCATTTACCCTAAACGGAATATAAACTGGGTTCTTTAACAACTGTAGACATTAGGATAACATCCAAATCACAAGCTAAATGCAAGATGTTGGACTAAAACTACAGCAAACCAACCTGCTCAATATCTTTGAGTCCTGCCCTTATGACATTAACCTCAGCCTCCAACTCTCCTGTATTAACTTTTGCAGCTGTAATGGTGTCAGGAATGTCCTCCTCTAAATGCAACAGATCTGGGAACTGGAATCACACAGTACATGATAATATTGAGCATTCTCCTTTAAACTGAGAAAATCTAAGAAATTGTATAGCTCTATGATATGGTTGTAATACAAACTCAACAAGAAGAAGAATGGTAGAATCAATGATCACATTCAAATGACTTATAGGTTTCTTGGCATGTTATCAAATCACAAATATTGTAACATCTAACCAGAGACATATACATTGAAAAGTATTCTATGTCTCCGATCTAACTCTTGATTTTTTAAGAAAATCATCAAATGATTTATGTTATTGTTAAGAGCATGTGAAAAGAAATTATTTATGCCAACCTACCTTCTTTTGTAAAGTTTCAATAAGATAATGCAACAATGTCACATTTTTCTGAATACTGGATTTGGTATCAACAATTTTATTAAGACTAGCTAGCTTGAAGCCACTGGCATTGCCCCTGTTTCCGCGATTCATGTAGTTCCCAAATGCTAGAACGAGTTCTAGGAGTTTCTTTAACCTACGACTCTTCACAACTTGTTTAGAAGCTTCGAGCACAGCTGGAAATACAATAATTTTCTCTTACTATTTTGGAATATTTGATCATTACTGATTTAATTTGCCAAATTGTATGCAACTTTATTAATCTTAGCCAATAATAAGCCAATATACATGATATAAATAGTTTTTCAATTGAAATTGTAAAATGAAATCTACTGATAGTAAATATTGTTTTTAACTTGATTTTTGTTTCACCTATTTAAATTTGATCGCTATTTTCAGAAGTTTATAGTTCTCATGTTTTTAATTTACAAATTAATTCATTTAATTCTCTTAAGAAGATAGATTTCCTTTAACCATATACAGTGAAACCTGTATATCAAAATCTCTCTTATCAGAACACCTCTCAAAGTGAACATCTTTGATCAATCCAAAATTTCTCCATTTGTCCTACCGACCACATATTCAAAAACCTTGAAATGTGAACCATGCTTATCCAAACACTTTTGGCCAGTCTGTCCCAGTGGTGTTTGGATTCAACAGGTTTTACTGTATGACTAAATACTCACTTTCTATTTTTGGTTTGCATTCACTCATTCTCTCACTGAACTTCTTCTTATAATGCAAGGCCTTTAGTCTCTGTTCATAGTGACCTATCCTAAAATTAAGATAACGAGAACAAATTATGGAAATATTCTTATCACAGTATAATAGTTCAGCTGAATCTTTCTGGTTTTAAGACACATTCTCTATCTTTTATTGAAAAAAGTGTTTAATCATACTAATTTAAATAAATAAAAAATCATTTATTAAATTATATAGAAATATTTCAGGTTTTATTTGTTGATACATCAAATGCAAGAAAAGTGAGACTTTCAGTCTCATCTGATGTGGAGAAAAATAAAACCAAGTCTCAGAATATGTAAGACTGTCACAGGGTTGATATCGATTCCCATTACTCCTACCAAAGTGTATAAATTTAAGTACCTGCTCATTTCAAACAGGAATCTGTCAGCTCTTGCCATTTGCTCAATCTCATGTTCATGTTCTGCAAGCATCTGCTTCTCCTCTGGTGTTGGAATGAACTTCAGCAACTGGAATATGAAACAAACTTATAGAAAATCACATTTTTTTAATTCAATCATCACGACACAATCAATGAAAAAAATACCATTTATTCAATAAGAGCCACATCTTTGAAAAAAATTACAGACTCAAATTCAAAAGATAAATCCTCATCTTTCATCCATAACTGAGACAATGTATGCTTAGACAACTAACCTGCTCACACATATCTTTTGGCAACTCTTCCTGGGCATCCATATTCAAAATGGCCGATGCAAGTTCATGGTTTTTCATTTTTAACCTTGACAACAATATGGTACAATTTTGTGCTCTCCTCCCATCAATGACTGAAAGCTCTTTCTGTTTGGCTGCACTTCGTTCAGCTTTACTAATGTCATCCTCGCTACTATGACGCTGATATGCAGAAAATGTGGCATCAAATTCCTCCAAGTCAAGGGTCTTGTAAAGCTGCGAATAAATGAAAAATGTTTCAATAATAATTAAGCATTAATCTAATTTCATATTTTCAGTGATTTTGTACTATACTGACAGAAAGGTTTTGAAAACCCGGGAAAAGTTTAAACCATAATGACATCTTATATTTTTCCATTAACATTTCTTCATCAAATACTGAACATATAATCTCCAAGCAGAAATTACTACATTTATTTATGATTTTTAAAGTATATGTACATCAAATAAACACCCTGCTACAAAACTCCTTTTAAAAATTCAAGTGCTTGCTTTCCTCCCCCTCCCCCTCCCGATATATGAAATATATTTACCTTTGTATCATCAATATCTCGCCATACAGTGCCCTGGACTCTGGTCTACAAGTTCAAACAAAGGTAAAGATATAAGGCTTTCTTTTTTAAAGAAAGTAAATAAAAATAATATTGTTATATAAAATTATGCAATTAACCTTAAAAAAAAGAATTCAAATTTTTAATATGGAGAATTTTAGGCCATTCCAGAGTGTTAGGCTTATGTCATTTTCATAGAAAGCCACTTACTGTAAATATGATTATGTCATTTATGAGAAAATGGATAATGAATTTCTTTACTATAAATTATCAGTAAAACATGTAAATTAAAATCTAAAGCACATACCTCAGGCAGTTTACTCCAGTTGAATGACTTGAGTGGATTGGATGGTTTTGGTATATCTTTGGTTTTAACAGGGGTATTAGAAATAGCGGGGGCCATTCCCATAAGGGGAGGAGCCCCTGGAGGGGGTGGGGCCCCAGGGGGAAGGGGCGGGGCAGGAGGACCACCCATAGGAGGTGGGGGAGGTGGTGGGACATTAGATAGACCTGGGGGAGGGGGTGGAGGGACTGTAAATGATATTGGGGGAACAGGGTTGGATGACAGAGTGAGGTTTGAAAATCCAACTTTGGCGTCATCTGGTAGACTCCCAGTGTTAACTGCATGTGTAAGTTTCTCCCGCTCTCTCCGCTCCAATTCCAACTTAATAACAAAACACATGATTCATGCAGACACTAAAAATTATTTTGAGTTCATAATGCTGGAACCATCAATAATTTTGAAAATTCTTATACAATGGAAGTCCATAGGAACCATGATGGATCGGAATATCATTGTGAATTTTCAAAACTATGAATGATGTAGACCAGACATATAAGTGCAGTATGATGCATCCAATTCCATTCATTAGGGTATAAGCATTTAAATAGTTAGTTATAAAACTTTAAATAAATTCTTCATTAAGATATAAGATTAGAAAGCAACTCTTAATCAGGATCTGATAAGAGCACAAACAGCATTAGAAAGCATATTCAATATTTATCATAATTTTCACTGAACCATTTCAAAGCTCAATTAGTAGAGGTCATTAAAAGCTCATTAAAGCATTCTCACCATAGCTTTCATCTCATTTAGCATTGCTGTTAGTTCAATTATATGTTGTTTGGCTTCTGCATGGGCACTGTTCTCTTTCTCAAGACGCCTTTTCATGTTATTCATGGTGGCTAATAGTTCTTCCTATAAGCAGCCAATAAGCATGTTAAAGATAGCAATTCACACAAAACAACACAGTTAAGTAGTACATGTATATGTACAGTATATGTACATGCATACATATAATAATAGTCTGAAGATGTATTTTAACACCATGCTGGTTGATGTCATAAAGCTGATATTGTTAATGAATATGTTTCTGATATCTGAAAATATTTACACTTGTATAGTATGTAGTACTGAAGAATCAATTTACTACATTCTAAGAAATCAAAGCCAAGTTCGAAGCTTAATGTTTTATATAAAATCTTAATGATCCATTCAATATGGGTAGCATTCTATTCCACACATCTACAAATCAAGAAGAAAGCCAAAAATGTATATATTTGTGATGTAAAAATCATAAAATAATCAATTTATTTGATCCAGTCTATACTGTCTATTTGGCACTGAAAAGCAAACCTCTATAATTCATTACCAATTCATAGTTTTAAAGTGCAGATGCTTACTTTTTCCTGAGTTTTGATTTCACACTCTCGTTCACGTTTCTCGAGTCGTGATGCAAGTTCATCATTCTCTTTCTGGACTTCTCGAAGTTTAGCTTGGAATGCCTTAATCTCATTCTCACTGGCTAGTCTGCAATATATATAATTGATATCATGATATGGTTTATAGTGCTTTAATATTTTTTCAATTTATTTATTTATTGGAAACGCTTTTATTACAGCGGAACACAAATGGTTCTTCCAGACATTGGCAACACATTTAAAAGCATATGTCAGTTTACAGGCATTATATATGAGAAACTAAAACATGTTATTGGGTCTGGGGTTTATATACACATTTTAGACATTGGCTTATATTTCAAAACATAGTTTAGTGACATCAAACTATATTGTATAGAGGGTGTAGTTATAATTGGGGCAGTTTCTTAAATGAGGGACAATCTGTTTAGGCCCTCATTTATTTGCGATGAAATGTTGCCATGTAGATAAAGATTAATTTCTGGATTCCTTCACAAACTATCTGTCAAATTGAAACTTCAATTGTTTGTGTACTTGTGCACTTGTGTTAGATTCCACAGAAAAACACTTTATCCAGGGTAGTAAAAAATGCAATGAATATTCGAATTGTTTAAAAGAAGGTAGAAATGTCTTTGATGTTCCTATAAGAGGAATAGATGTGGTCGTAAAAAGAAATTATTGTCACCTGAGGGTACGAATCGACAACTTGGTTAAATATCACCAAAATGAAAAGGTCAGTGGGCCAGTTGCTGAAATTGTTGCTTACAAAACTGTTTAAAAACTCTTTAAAAGAAATGCATATGGTATTTACTTTTGGCAAATGAGTAATTTGTGGAAACCACTGGAACTTACTTCCTCTGAATATTTGCTTAAGTTTGACAGTGAAAACTAAAAATCCTCGGAGTATATAATATGATACTCTAAAGATGTATATGACATCAAATGGATATGACATCAAGTGTACATGACATCACCACCCACTATCATGGAATGTGTCTTATTTGAATGACATCAAGTGGCAATAAATCAATCAAAAGATTTCCCACACCTTCAACTTGTCAAAAGAATTCATGATATTCACATCATTTATATTACAATTAAGAATAAGAATAGATCAAATTAATAAGTTGAACAATATGATTTTTTTGGCTTATTTCTTGAATTATAGTGTTCTTTTAATTCTTCTGTACTTTTCTTGATTCTCTCCATTATCACCTCATTTTAATGAAGACATTATGACCTTGTGACTGTTGTGGGTAATTTCCATTGTACATGCTGATCGACATGTATTGTGTTGATCAATAAATTGTCAAGCAATTCCAGATCAAATGCAGGAACAATAATTGTGGAATTAACGGGTCAGATATGAAATATATACACTCATCTAAATTATACGGAAATATGATAATTTAACACAGTTTTCAGTATTAAAAAAAAAATTGTTGATGTACAAAGAGAGATTTTATGCAACAGTCATGATATTGTTACCGTATATTACCTGACAAAGAGCACGCAAGATCCAATTGTCAAAGTAAGAGTATTCACATCACGATAACGTCTTTTAAACGTGCAAGAATAGATATCCAATGATCTTGTCATGATTCTCTCGTATGATGTAGTCATCTCAAATCCAAACTTTTACAACTTGTTCAAATTTTAGATGTTTAGTTTAAATAATCCATAACTTTTCACATTTTTCTGTGTTCACTTTACTTAATGATATTATACTTGTTAATCCATAAGATATTATTGTTTTTATCCACCTCATTCATGTTTTGCAGTAAATACAATGTTCTGTGCAGTCTTTTCAATAGTTATGTATTAATTACTCTATAAAAGAGCTGATGTAATATTCCAATTGTACTTCAAAAAATATTTCAAATTCTAATTTACTATTTGTGTTAGCATCAATATAAACCTCAATCTGTGTTATACCTGTTCATGGGCAATATACATTTCATGCTGGCCCTGAATGTGTATATTATGATGTTCAGAACACTTGCTACAGGGCTGATAGACATTAATGACAACCTGATCATTTGTCAACTTTCAAACAAACATTTGTTTTAGTAAGACAGGTGATTGGTGAAGTATGGGAAAATTCTTATTTTCTTATCGACTCTATTATTACACATGTACTTTCAATTTTATTTCTTACTTTTTGTAAAATTATATTCAAATTATTGTAAATCTATTAAATGTTATTTTTTCTCAATGATGAAATTCTATAGACATTTCTTCATAATTGGATCATTTTGTTATTTGATAATTCCTGAGGCAAAATGCGACAAGTATGGAGTATAATTAAACAATATTGACAGATGAAAGGTGTTAATTGAATTACCAATCAGAAAAACTTTAATAATACAATTAAATTTGAATAAATTACAATCTACGATTTAATATGCAATTATATAATTAAAATAAAGGGGATCCAGGAACTCCATCGTTTAAAGATTTCCATTTATATATGGATTGTATCTAAAATGCTTTGATACATGAATACTAAATATTTTGTTGATACTAAAGGCAGAATAAGAGATACAGGGGAAAACAAAATTGCAATCAACATGTACAACTGACCCATCACTTTATTCATTACAATCTCAGATGTAATATCTCCCAAGAAATCCATGATATGTTATCCATTGGTGAAGTTAAGATTCATTGTGCACAATTTTGCCACAAATGTTTAAGGTCTTCCAAATATGGATATCCACATTTATTGAAAAATGATCACATAAATGTGAAAATTCTTTAATATTCCTTGAATAAATTATGAACTTTAGGGAATTTTCTAAATGTAAATTTGACAAGGAACGGTATGGGGCTAAAATATTTTGGAAAGGCTGGTCACTAGATCTTATTCTGCCTTAAATTTTGATTTTTTTCTAAAGGACGATTCTCGGTTTGGAGAACAGTCTCCTGGGCTAATAATTTTTTTAATGAAAAATACAGAAATATTACCCAAATTAAACTATGAATATTCAAAAGAGGACATTTAAATCTACAAGATGTAAAAATAACAAATTGGTCTGAAGCAGGGATAAAGCTCAATTAGACCGATTCAATAAAATACAAGTCTCGATTTGGGGAAATAAGTTCATCAGTGTACTGCGCTAATATTTTTTTGCGAAAAATCTAGAAATATTACCCAAATTAAATTATGACTACTCAAAAGAGGACATTTAAATCTATATTATGTAAAAAAATCAAATTTGTCCGAAGCAGGGATAATGCTCATTTAGATTGATGAACTTCGTTCTCCAAACCGAGAATCGTCCTTTGTCAGTGCAGTGATAGAACTGAGTGTTCTCTTCGAATTTCCAAAAGGGCATAACAGGATGTCCAAGGATAAAACTACCCAAGAAAATGACCGCTGCTGATGAAACCCCATTCAACGTTATAGAGAGGATAGCATAAACAACTCACTGTTTGACTATTTTGTTGACATTTAGCTGTAGAGGCTCTACACTATCAGGATTGTTCCCATCTGGCTGTTGTATTGCTATCTGTTGTATGATGCGATCTATTAGCTGCCACTGTTGCACAGCAACTGACCCATCTACAACACAGTTACCATAGCAACACTATTAGAACACAGTTTCCATGGATATGAAGAAATTAAATGAATCTTTCAAGAAGTATGTCGCTGTAAATATAGGTCACTTTCAATACAATAGCTTGACATGCAAAATACTCTGTCCAAACATTTAAATAAAATCTATCTAAAAAAATACACAGTAACATGTTTTCAAAAGAATATCCAGACAAAGATCATGACCGCTGTTGTGCTTTATTTCTTTTTTAATATACATGTATATTTTCTAATTGAGTTAAGACAATACTAGCCACAAAAGTATTTTAACATGAAGTTGCATGTGGGTGAGGATACAAAATGGTTAAGAGTACATGTATATTGTTCCACATAACTTGTACCTGGGCAAGTACATGTAGTTGTGATGTCAATAAATCAAACATTTGATTAATTGCAAGGAATGTAACCTTAACCCATACAGCTAGTATAATAAAGATGTAGGTGAAGGAATCTCAAACAACTATGTACATAACATGTATAGTAACATGTAAAGTACATTGCATTATGTATACAGTATCCATTACTCAGGAAATAGAAAAGGTTGAGAGGTGAACAATTTGAGTTGTATACTTACAGGGTAACTGTAGCATATGGAACAAGGTGGACAGAAAGTTTGGGTATGCTGTGGAAAAAGCCAGCTTTTTCCTAAGTAGCTCAAACATGGAACTTGCACTCTTTGAGTCAATGTGCATCTGAAAAAATGAATATTTAATGAACGACAGTCTGGGCAATTTAACTTGCTTTAGACTTGTGGTACATTTCCCCAAAATATGTGTGCACTAAAGAGTTAATATAATAAATCTGCATTTTTTTTTTATTTGAAAGTATAAAAAAAATGCTTTGAATATAATTGGTTCTTGTTGTCTTTCTCACTATTTTACATGGAAATTAGAATCATTCAAATCTTACCACATCAAACCGAGATGCCAGCTCTTTTTCATCTTCAGAACGAACATATTCGAAAAAGTCTAAATGTCTGAAACAAAAATAATTTGTAAAGTACATGTACAAATAGAAAAGCTAAAGTGTTGTTCTCTACAATTATGTCGACATTTACTTAAACGAAACCAATGTTCCACAATTACCATACCACCGAACTGTAAGTCGCAATGCATATTGCAAATATTAATAACTAGTATGCACAGTATAATGTACATTACAACATAATTATCACAATTTTATCCAATTTCAAGTAAGCATTTGTCAATTTTTCTCACCTATCTAGTGTAATATTATCGTGGCTCCTGAGTTTGTCAATAACAGGCTGAAGCCCTAACATAAGGAACTCATAGCGGAGGTGCATTCTGAACTCTAGACTTGTCTGAAACAAAATACCAAATAAATTAATTCATCATTTTATTTCTCATTTTGAATTCATATGGACCATTCTAAGGTGCATCACAGACAAAATCTAAAGACAATTTAAAGACAAGTATTTTTTATCCATGTAAGAATTTCAGATCTATCTGTCAAAATTGAATTATAATGGGCCACTGGTATTTTTTTCAAAAACATGCCGATATAAGCATGTCCACAGCAAAAGTCATTGGACAATAAACAAGGGGTTTTGTTGCGCTTTCCTCATCTCAACCTACCTGTCCTGGACCATATTTTAAAGCTGCATTGATGAAACTCATAATTGTTGTCTTTAAAGTCACCTCATCCTTATAAACCCCTGTACTCCTATCTAAGTCATTCACCAAAGTCTACAAAATAAATCATTATTATACAAGATCAAATAAACTTAAACACATGAATCTAAAATTTTTATTTAATGTGTACAAAGAAGTTCTTGTGGGTCTAAAAGAGGATCAGTAAAAAGGACATTTAGTTTAGTGTTGTTTAAAATTTTAGAAAATATCATCTCGATTCCTGTCTATCATTACATACATAATGCTCCATTTGATAGTATTACATACCTGAAACCTGACACGCTCGCAAGCGAACTGTTGATAATGTCCCATAGCTCCCAGCACCTTCTTGTGACCTCCTGGGACAAGGCACATTGCACCCAGGATTTCAACAACTGCCACTTTTGTTTTGATATTTTCTGAACTCAAACTTTGAGAGATAATGTTTATGGCTGAAGGATGAGCTAAGACATGTGACCTTCCTTGCTGAAAAAGTAAATAAACAACATTAGTTTTTATAGAAGATTTGATTGGTAAAATAAGTATATTGGATATATTATAAAATAAATTCATTTTGAACCTTATATCTAGTTTTTAAACACTACACCAAAGCAGTGATTTTTGTAACAAGTATGGTTAGACAAATTAAAATTAGTACCGTGGGTACTGGGCTCACATGGTGACAGAAAAAAACGGATATAATTTTTTGCTGATTTTTTGTAACAAAATTATTTCAAGCCACTTGCCACTATTTTGGACTGACTGAGAGACAGATGGACAAATCGATGTTAAAGAGAGAATCAGATATAGCGAGCAGGCTAAACAAAAAATTGTTTCAATTTTAGAATATTTTTGGCTTATGTCATTCCTTGTCATGTCTATTTTCTAAAAATCACAAAAGTGCATACTTTATTTCAGGAAAACTAAAGATTTTTACAATAATGTATTATTTTTCTATAAGAATGGTTACCATTCTTATTATTTGGGAGAATTTAAACATTTTTCACCCATTTTTGCACTTTGAATCATTAATAACTTCACCAATTTACAACATATTGTGAATCTTTTGGGAGATATTGTATTTGATATTGTAACAAATAGATTGGTAGGTCAATTATACATGTTGCTTGTAATTTTGTCACCCCTATAGATCAGATTCTGCCTTTAAGTAAAATGGCTGAGAAAAAAACGGATATAATTTTTTGCCAATTATTTGGAACAAAATTATTTCATACAACTACTCTTTACAGTGACATGGCTTTTTGCAATGCAAGACACCTGAAATTATTTGTAAAGCTAGGAAATAGGCCAAAATTGAATTTCACGAGACAAAAATGGCGACCATATTGAAATCAGGCAAGCTTTTGAACCAGGAGTCATAGGGGAGTTTTTTTGTATTGATGTTGAACAAAAATAATGCGAAACTGGAATCCTATCGACAGAGGTTTTAAGCAAATGGTTCAAAAGAGGATTTCGCGAGACAGATGGACAAATCAATGTTAACTAAAATGGCTGAAAATAAAAAAACAGATATAATATTTTGCCGATTTTTAACAAAATTATTTCATACAACTACTCTTTACAGTGACATGGCTTTTTACAATGCAGGACAGCTGGAATTATTTGTAAAGCTAGGAAATGGGCAAAAAGTGAATTTCGCGGAACAAGAATGGCGACCATTTTGAAAATAGGCGAGCTTTTGAACCAAGAGTCATAGGAGAGTTTTTTGTATTGATGTTGAACAAAATTAACTTAAAACGGAAATCCTATCGACAGAGGGTTTAAGGTAAATGGTCCAAAAGTGGATTTTGCGAGACAGATGAACAAATCAATGTTAACTAAAATAGCTGAAAATAAAAAAAATTGATATAATTTTTCGCTGATTTTTCGTAACAAAATTATTTCATACATCTACTCTTTACATTGACATGGATTTTTACAATGTAGGACACTTGAAATTATTTGTAAAGCTAGGAAATGGGTCAAAAGTGAATTTCGCGAGACAAAAATGGTGGCCATTTTGAAAATAGGCGAGCTTTTGAACCAGGAGTCATAGGGGAGTTTTCTGTATTGATGTTGAACAGAAATAACTTAAAACAGGAATCCTATCGACAGAGGTTTTAAAACGTGCCACTGTTATTGACGGAAAGTGGATTTCGCGAGTCAGATAGACAAATCAATGTTAACTAAAATGGCTGAAAAAAAAAAAAATGGATATAATTTTTTGCTGATTTTTTGTAACAATATTATAACATATATCTACCCTTTACATTGACATGGATTTTTACAGTGTAGGACACCTGAAATTATTTGTAAAGCTAGGAAATGGGTCAAAAGTGAATTTCGCGAGACAAAAGTGACGGCCATTTTGAAAATAGGCGAGCTTTTGAACCAGGAGTCATAGGGGAGTTTTCTGTATTGATGTTGAACAGAAATAACTTAAAACAGGAATCCTATCGACAGAGGTTTTAAAACGTGCCACTATTGTTGACGGACGGACAGACGGACAGACGGACAGACGGACGGACAGACAGACGGACAAGTGAGTGATTGCAAAAGCTCACCATGTGAGCTAACAAGTTAGATACGAAGCATTGTTCTGAAACCAATTGTTAATGCAAACCTAATAATTTTGGTAAGGATTTACTTGTCAAGAGACATATCCTTAAGATTTTTTTTAATGGTGCCAGCGGTGTGCGTAAGAGAAGAGGATTTAACAAATAGAATATGACATACCGAGTTGTTCATAAGTGCCTTTATGCAGCCAATAGCAGAAGTGTGAATCAGGGACTGAGCAGTTTGGTAGTCCATGTCCTTCAGAAATGTCAATATAGCTTGCAAGCCTTCCAACTGGATGAACCTCATCACAAAACTAAAATAATACAATACAATGTTGCGGTAAAATGGTAGAAATAGACTGGTAGAGCAGTTAGTTCAAATGCACAGAGACATCTATTTAGCAATCTGATGTTGAAAAGCATAATTAAAAGGAAACAAAAACTGTTACAGTATTATGTATATATTTACGTTCATACCATTGGATATTTCTTAAAATTGGATAAATAGAAATGATGTTGGTTACATAAAAACTGTTAACAATTTGTCAAGCTGTAGCAGTGTAGCTAATGCCTATGTTGTTTATATACACATCCGTCTGGCTCATATACACAGGCAAATAACATCGGACCCCATACAAGCCCGTACGGAGCCCGAAATGACTCTTAATTCTTGAGGCTCATACAAGCTCGTACGAGACCCGATGTTATTTGCCTGTGTACAGTATCATATCATGTAAATATATGCAGTACTTGTCTTCCATTGATGGGTTCATATTTGAGCCTCTAGGGTTTTTACTTTATACTTTCATACCTCATGGGTTTTGTCCGCAGAGCTGTTTTCAAACTGTCCATCAGTTTCCTTCTTGCAAGCATTTCTTCCTCATCATACAAGAAAAATACCTGAAAGTTGAATTTCATTATGTAAGTCAAAATCTGTAGCTGTTAAGAATATGCATATAGGATTATTTTGTATCATGGTAAGTTATTGATTGCTGCTATCAAAAATATTCAATGTGAAGGCTTACAGTATTTTTTATATGCCAAAGCTATTGTAAGTAAAAAGTTGCTAGGCAGTTGCTTTCCTACAAGATCAATATCAATTTAATGGCTCCAAATGGAACAACTTTATCGAGTTTGTCTGGTTCTATTCATATCCCTTGTGCAGACAAAATACTTTCAATACATGTTGGTGGTTATATTTGTTACTCACTGAAGACATTGTGTTGACCCGTTCTATATAATAATCTGGATAGTTTGTAGAATGGGGGTCATCTTGTTCCTACATCCAAAATAATAAAAACAAACATACGAATTCTGATAATCATCTTTTTGTTATGCAAATTAAATATTGAATATTTCATTTCAAAATTCCTCTATTATCTGTATAAGATGCTAACATGGAAACATATTGGATATTAAAATTGAAATTACAGACATTAGATTTTAACCCAGGATCGTAACTCTTACCCTTTTCTTGCTACAATAGATGGTCCACTTTTTCTCGGCAGGCAGACTGAACATGGCATCTCTATGGGACTTGTCCAGATCTAGCTCATCCTACAAAACATCACAAAAAAATGACAGAGTGATCATGTTTAAAAACTGAATAAAGAGAGATTATTGAGATTATTCAATTTTTGATCATGAATGTTTCGTGAATATGTTAAGGGGCCTTAGTCTCAAGATTATCCAGAGCAAAATTGTTAAATGAATAGATCCGAGGGATATATGGTAGAACCTGTCCAGAATGAATGCCATTGGAACCAGCTATAGGTGTTTGGAATGGGAGGTGTTTACATTTCAAGATTTACTTAACATGGGAATCAATGGGAGGCTACAAAATTGGAACTGAGAGAAAGTGCTAATTTTGGAAGGTGTTGGATTCTAAAGGTGTTCAGATATCCAGGCTTTCCTGTATCTTGTAAATCATGGACTGAATACCATTTCACTTGGATAAATATCAGCTTGGTACAAAGAGACTGTGCTTTGAAAAATAAGAATACATTGGAGGGCAATAGCAAGCAATATTGATAAAAGCAATATATGCAATTACTTCGTAAATACATAGTGGGCTAAGTAGCTAACTCAATAGAACACTCTGACATATGGCACAAATGGAAATGTCTCCCTCTGGTTCAAATAACGATTTTGTCCTTCAACTATCCATCCAATCTATCTTCATTTCTGATCCCTATGAAAATTGGTAGCTTATAATAATTTGCTTCACAGCACTGCAAAAATGCTATCTACAACAGTGGGGACTTATGGGTTTGAAAACTTGTTTTTGGAATACTAGTTCAATTCCAATAAGTGAAGTTCAAAACTTCTTTGTTTTATGATCTCTGTTGCCTTTTGACCAATCATCCAAGAAATATTATCATTTAAAAGATCATTTAATTATTTGTGTACAGTTGTCCACATCATCAATAGATATATTTAGCACAAAAAGTTCAGAAAATCCTTCAGAAAATTCCGTGGGAATCCTTCAGAGTCATGACACTTTGTGGCTAACCCAAAACTTCCGCAGAGAAAGTGAGATTTGAGTTTAACCAAAAAAAGTTGAGAATGGAGAAATTAGACAAATAAGGTTCTTTTATCATATTGTTTGAAGAAAGTTGGCCAGAAATCTGGACAAATCTCAATGTGAACACTTCTTTTAGGACTATTTTTAAAAGGTGAACATCTGCCAATCTGAACACTTTTGCTTGCTTGGTTTAGAGAGATATTACTGTATGTAAACTTAGTGATTTATAATTATTTTATGTTCCTCATAAATCAACTTATCATGAACGCTTCCCATAAATAATTCAGAGAGGTTATTTGGCTACAAATATTTGGATATCTTTGAGACACTTTAGCAATTAAAGTACCATTTAAGATTAGATTAAACATACTGTTCAATAAGCAAAAGAGCTTTAATCATTCTTAAAACAAATGGCAGGATTTACGTCTAAGATAGCAGTTTTAATTAAACTAATTATTTTTGTGAATTCAAAATGTTATAGAAATATTTGAAAGAATGTTTGGTCCATTCTATTAGTAAATGGTCTTAAGAATGGTTGACATCAGAAACTAAACCAAAAGTAGTGATGTCAGACCATGATGAAAAGCCTTCAATTGCACAATTTACTTTCCTTCTAAAAATCTACATTATGTTGGTTTATAATATTACATTTAAGTTTACAATGTTACAGTGTACTATAAAGTTTTTAAGTTAAAATGGTTTCAGATCTAAATTTCAGATCACATTTATTCCACCCAGCCTAAGATAAAATTGGCATTTTCATAGAAAAACAATTCATAAATTGAAATAAATAAAAAATAAGCTTACCACAAGTTCAGCAAACTGAGCGTTTATTTGCGCCTCATCTGCGGGCATTGGGGGATCTTCGTAGAAATCTCGCAGCTGCATGCCTGTTTCCCCACCCCCATGTTGGATTTCAGGGGGGCCCGTACCACCCAGGCACCAGCATAACTTCCCTGGCATCCCTACTAATCTGCTAAGTCTGGAAATACAAAAGGGCAATGATTAATTCTCCTCCAAATCACACTTTGTTTCTAGACATGGAAATACATGTACATTGTTCATCCTAGTCCTATAACTCATTGGTACAGCATTCGCCCAGAACAGAGGGTGGATGGTTCAATTTCTAATGGAATTGATTGACTTATTCACACCTTCCCTCAACACAGGATTTCATTCTGTGTTTTGCTTTTTATATTCCCTGCGATATAGATCATCCATATCTATAAAATGAATTTGATTTCATTACTGTGTCCAGTATACCTTTGAAATAAGTGTCACTTTGAATACATCAAGTTGAATTCTTTGACTCTATATTATAATATACCAGTACAATATAACATTAATCTGTCTTTTTACTTCCTCGTTGTTCTTGGCACTATGCAAACACAAATTCTGGTTTCCTTATATGTATTTAAACTTAATGTCTTGTTTTTAATCTGTTTATTCAGGTTAATATCACATCACTTCAAAATTCAATGTCAACGTATTGGTCGAAACCTGAACGTTCTACTGAAAAACAGTCAGGATATGGGATAATGAAATTTGGCAAAAGAGCCAATATGGTATTTGCAACACCCATGTTTTATATGGCAATAATAATAAACCTAAAATACTATAACTTCTCTATTGTGTATGGATTATATCAAGTAGATTAGTGCATGTGAAGAGAGTGGTTTGAATGTTTCTGTTGGTGTAGAGCATATGAACAATTATGAATAATAAATAAACCTGTCTTAATGTACACCTGTCTCTAGTGAACACCTTTCTCTAGTGAACACCTTTCTCTGGTGAACACCTGTCTCTAGTGAACACCTTTCTCTAGTGAACACCTGTCTCTAGTGAACACCTTTTCTCTAGTGAACACCTGTCTAGTGAATACCTGTCTCTAGTGAACACCTTTCTCTAGTGAACACCTTTCTCTGGTGAACACCTGTCTCTAGTGAACACCTTTCTCTAGTGAACACCTGTCTCTAGTGAACACCTTTTCTCTAGTGAACACCTGTCTAGTGAATACCTGTCTCTAGTGAACACCTTTCTCTAGTGAACACCTTTTCTCTAGTGAACACCTGTCTAGTGAATACCTGTCTCTAGTGAACACCTTTCTCTAGTGAACACCTTTTCTCTAGTGAACACCTGTCTAGTGAATACCTGTCTCTAGTGAACACCTTTCTCTAGTGAACACCTTTTCTCTAGTGAACACCTGTTTAGTGAATACCTGTCTCTAGTGAACACCTTTCTCTAGTGAACACCTTTTCTCTAGTGAACACCTGTCTAGTGAATACCTGTCTCTAGTGAACACCTTTCTCTAGTGAACACCTTTTCTCTAGTGAACACCTGTCTAGTGAATACCTGTCTCTAGTGAACACCTTTCTCTAGTGAACACCTTTTCTCTAGTGAACACCTGTTTAGTGAATACCTGTCTCTAGTGAACACCTTTCTCCACACATACTTTTACTGACTTCTTTATAAATTGAACACCTTCCAACACTGAACATTTTTCTCAGCAAAAAAATGTTCAATATACACAGGTTTTACTTTACTCTTACCAATAGCATGTCTTTGCTTCTTAAAAGAGAGCTTCATCTACTTATTCTAACATACTAGGCTCTGATTATCAAGATAACTTTATGAATTATATGTTTCATTTCAAAATAAATCACAATACATGCACTTTTTAAAAAAAAGATTCGTCATTTTTGTAAAAACACATTTTAGTGAAAGCTCAAATAGCGCAATTTATTCAAATGCCTCTATGTTATGGGTCAAAAACATAAGTAATGATTTTGATTCTTAATTTTTTAATCAATAACAGGTACCTTTAAATCTAAAAATACAATAAAAAACAGGTGCCTTTAAATCTAAAATATTATAAATTAAAATGGCCTTTTTAAATCTAAATTATGATTAAACAAGCCCCCATCTGCTTCCTTGTTCAACTTAACCTAGAACACACAACTATATTTTTAGATATTTCATATGAAGACCAATGACAACCTTGGATAATAACACAGCTGGCATGAGGCATATACTTTAGATGTTCATTAATTATGTGACATAGTGTCTTGAAGACATTAACAACATGGAAGTCTGTCAACTTGACATATATCAAATAAATCACATCACAGCTTCAGATGACATTCAATTTGTCATTGCTACATAAATATTTACTTATTTTATTAATAGGATATCTATGATTTATAATTTTGGTTTTAATAAAAAAAACTGGTAAGCTGTTTGATTGGTGGTTGATTGGTTAGCTGGTTGGTCGGTGGTTAATTAGTTGGTTGATATGACCCCCACACTTTCTCTGAGTTGTGATGTTCATATTTGTACCTTCACTTTCCAGAACTACCCTCCCAAATACCAATGTACATAAACTTATAACTAACTTAAATTAAGCAAGTACCCATATCTCACACGTGAACTAAAATATAAAAATAATTATACATGAATGGAATAAACAATTAGTTTCAAATTAGTTCAGGGAAATAACATTATCTCTGATTGCAGTAATACCCAAGGCTAAATAAAAATAACACGATAAAATTAGAGATATCATCTTAGGATATATTGGGAAATTTCTCCTTTGTTTCACATCTAAAATGTTCATTCATTTGAATATTCTAAATGTCATTTTAAAGATGAAAAATAAATCATAAATGTTTTATGTTATTCCAATAAAGGTCAAACAGAAACAAATCACAAAAATGATTGAATTCAACTTGATATACCGCCCTATATATTTCTATTCATTTGATTATGAAGTCATTCATTATTTTAACTCTAATAAAATATTAGGTCAAGAAGCACGCAAATCTCTTAATTCAAAATAAATCAAGGCCACCTACTTACTTCTTTTTTAATGTGAAACATTTTCTAAAGCCCCCTAGCCTTATTTCACTTGTTTTTGTTTATCAGTTTATTGGTCAGTGGGAACTAACAGGTCATAAATGGAACCTGTCCATTTACCCAGGGGCAGTTCATAAATAAAACATCATTAACCCTCTAATATATAACTATAAGAAGCATCTTAGGAGCGATATACAGTGAAATAAAGAGAAATTGGCAAGGAATAAATTATAAAAGAGTAAAATCAAGAATCTGAATTTATATAGCCTAGAAAAATCAGAAAATTAGGGGTTGAATTCAAAATTATAGTGAAATTGTATGTAACCTGCAAAACAGAGAGTGAAATATACAGAGGGTCATATTGTCCTGAGGTTGGATATATTTAGAGGCAAATATCAATAAAAAAAGTCCCTTGATATTATCAAAATGATTGCACTGGTAAATACAGACATATCAGATGTATTTCATCCTTTTCCCTATTGAGAGGATCAGGGTGAAATGTAAGCTGCGGGGTGAAATGCAGGGTGCAAAGGATGTATGTAGGATATAGGTGAAATATGGGGTGAAATGTGTAATGCATGGTGCAAGGTACATGGTGTATGCAGCTAGAAAGGGGAACTTTTAAGTAGGGTATAGGGTGAAAAATAGGGTACAATGTAAAATTTGGCCTACATTTTCCCAATCTTTGTTTGGAGGATTACTTTTGCTTGAAAGTCATCTTTGTGACTGATTAGCATTTCTTTCTAATGGAGAACTTTGCTGATATCATTACTGCAAATATTTATTCATTTCACGTATTAGATCTTACGAACCTGTCAACGTTATTGCAGGTTATGGCTTGTTTTTGAAGTTATTAATTGTATTTCTGGCAAGGTGTTTTCCTTTAGCTGTCTTCATTTAATTTTGATTTATAAGTTAAAATAAAAGCTAAATCAGCAGATATAAAAAACAATGTTTACCCCATTCCAAAGATAAGGTTACTAGAAATAGTTTGAGATTCTACCTAAAGTACAGAGTACATGTATACATGAATATTCCAGCATCATTATTTACATGCATTCAAGCATCAATAGAGCCCCCCTCCCAAACATTCACACACACTTCCTCCCTCAAACATTGATCAAGGATGGACTAAACACTCAAATCACTAACATTATTTTAACCAATGTAGAATTGCATTGCCTGAATATCATATTTCATTCACTATTAAAAATTTTAATGCTCCATTAATGAGAATTGGTTCATATATCTAGGATGTCACAAGTATTATACACTAATTAAAGCTAGTATAAGAGTTTAAAACAAAAAATACCACTTGTAGCGGTAATTGATCAAATGCTGTTGAGATATTACTTCAAATATTTGTATCTATATAACATTGTCTAATCTAGACAGGTGGACATTTCATATAGCAATTTATATATTAGCTGAAAAATTAGCTAAAATGTTCTAATATACCATCACGCAAGATAAAAGCAACTGTTGTATAATATACATATTTCCAAATGCCAAAAAAATGCCACAGTATTGATTAAATCACCATTGGCAATAAGAAACAAATGAATTCATGAGAAAATAGATTTCCTGTGAGAATGCTACAATGCGTAAGAAAAAGAATTTCATATCAAAAATTATTCTGACCAATACAGACCTTGACCATGTTGAACTTCTATGTCTCACATAACTTCGTCTTCTGACTTTTGGTGACTCCAAGCTATCAGCGATCCTATATGACTTCAAATTGCGTATATTTTCCGATGCACCACACTTTTCAGCCATGTATTGCATATTCATGTCTAAACTTTTCTTTTGTTCACCAATGTGAGGGACTTTTCCATTTATTCCAAAGTGTTGGTTTTTCATTCCTGTTAATCCATTGTTGTCATGGCAGGAATTTTTTAATTTTGTCTTTTGATTTGAAGCTCTTGTTGTTACAATATCATTACCAGTTTCCCGGCATCTATCAATCTTCATTGCATTAACAGATTCAATTTGATATCTGTCATTTTTTAAATCCAGATTAGATGTTGCTTCAAAATTAACACTTGCATCAATTTCATCGTTCCCATTCATCAACAATCCAGAGTCACTTCTCTCTGTTTTATAGCCGATCATTTGATCACTTCTTTCTTTTGCTGTTTCCCATTCCCAACTAGTGTCATCACTTTCACCAGTTGGGGAAATGAAAGGTCCTTTAGGATTGTCACTATTATCTATAGAAACTGAAATCGTACTTTCTATTTCATCATACAAACTAATAAGAGCACTAAATGTTGATTTACACTCACCCGCACTATCATCAATTTTTGATTCAATCTCAGACTCTTCAATGTTATCACTCTGATGATTATCATTAATCTTTTTGTCCTCATTTAAACCATCCACATCAGTAATATCTGCATGATTGATAACATCTTCAGCCTTGTCTTTTATTTCAAGTGAATCTACACTCAATGTCTTCAAGACATCTCTAGTTGTATCTTTGTAAAGTGGCTCTGAACTGTTAGTGGAAGATAAACACAATGAATTGTCAACAGTTTTATGTATAGTGTCATCATTCTTCTCATCTTCATCGGCTTCAAATGCAGGATTGATCATCCCATGACCAACTGCACTGTTATCAAACTCATGGTTGTTGGTATCAGTAAGGTTGACATTGTCTTCAATAACGCTAGCCTTGTTAACATTCTTTCCAACTTTGTTAACAGCATCTTTGTTGATGCATTCCTGTTCATCCAAATTATTGATTTCAGGGTCATTATGCTCTATAACCCCATTGATTTTATCATTTAGAGTCACATCTCTATCCTCTTTAATGTCGTTAACATTGTCTTTTTCTCCCATACTTGTTGAATCATTTGAAAGATGTATAATATATATCCATTCCAGAATTTTTATAGTTTGACTTTAACACTCAACTTCTTCATCAACATCTCACATGGGGAACGACTTATAAAATGACTCATGAATCAAAATTACATTATTTGTAGATGAATTTGAATTAGTGACTTAAAGAAATTTTAGCAGTCAATTTATATCCCATATATTGGTTTTCAGCTTGCTGTGTTAATCCAGGTTGCTTTCAGAATTAATTCCTATATAAATAAACAATTCTATTATAAAACCGCCCTGAATTCCAATCACTTTCTGTAATACCTTAAAGAGCATCAGAGAGTTCCATTGCTGCGTGGTCAACCACTTGAAATTTTCTTGTTATACATTTCTATCATTTAGAAACATCTATTAAGCAAAACCTAGTTTAGCTTTCCGTTTAGATCATCTTCTTTCTATAGTCAACTATATCCATAGTTTGGTTCATTATTTCCAGGATAGAAAAAATGATCGTTAACTTTTTATATCCTCTGTCCTGTGTTCATTTTTTCTTTTCTCTACTGTGAGATAAGGTAAGGTTATGAATATTTTGAAGATGACATCTTCTACGCACGTAGAAAGTGTGGATGATTTATTATCTAATTTTGTTTTCTGTTATCACCTCCTTTGTCCATCACATCTACCATATCCTCAGTTTGGCTAATTATTTCAGATAAAGCAAACTGATTATCATCTTAACTTCAATGTCCTGCTTCCTGTGTTCTGCTTTCTGTATGTTAATCAATTGAATATTTTCCATATCACATCTATTGCCGCGTAAATAAGGTGTAGATTTGAACTGTCCTGGTCTACATACATCATGCAATTAGTCATGTGTTAATGTACTAATGTAAAACAATGCTCTAATTACACCCCATAATTAATAGGCTGCATCATATTGGCAATGCTCTATATTAATAGAGGACTATATCCAACCAATTAGATTTTCCCTTTCATTGTTTCCACTCCTTGTTTTTACTTTTAACGTAACGTAACTTTCATAGGTTTCCATGCAATTATAATATCTTTCTACTTGTTCATTTTGTCCCTAATTTGTCCTCTTCCTTTTACTTTAATAATATTATTATAGGTAAAAGAAAGAAAAAATCCGAATGTAAGATGACTTTATTCAAAGGTAACATATGTCGCCTTGGGGTTTGCATTATACTTTGATAAGTAAAACATAATAACGAAATATAACTCTAATAAAACCTAGTCATTGAACTTTATTCACATTATATATTCTTCAACTAAATCATAAAATTAATATAAAAAAGTCAAAATCTTAGGATTTGTTGATTATAAAAGGTTTGCATGTTTTCAATTTTTGGCACTGCAGTTTTAAAAAGGTCTCAAGTTTTGACTTTGTTCAAAGTGCTAAATTAACCGAGTTTTGTAGGCCAACTGTTATATTACACTAACCAAATGCAAAAATTAAATCTCTTTCTAAATGTTTAATGATAAAAACTGATTTTTTATCTGATGCAATGTGAATGTCACATACAGCCTCTGTATCATTTCATGAATCCTGTTGTAATCTCACATTCCAAGGTGAGGGGACAACACACCTGACATTACAAGCCAAAAACTAAAACATCTCAAAGTGATGCAAATTTTAATGTTTAACATAGAATATTAAAGAATTTACGAAGAATTAAAAAAGTATTAACTTAATAAGTTTAATTGATATAAAAATGTGAAATTAATTGGAAACTTCATTCAAATCTTATAGTGAATGAATTTTAAATCTTGATAATGTAAGAAAATATTTTGGAAAGGTATCCCTTAAAGTACATGCCTTAGTGTCAAACATAACATAACGTTACATACTTACATGTTTAATGATACACTCGATCATGATGTAATTCAAATGCCATGTTTGTCATGATGCACAATGGTCCCTTTTCCATATAGCTTTGAAATCTCGTTAAAGTCTCGTTTTTAATGAGATGTTAATAGAGCTGCATTTTCAACATTAAAGACTAACATTTTCTTCTATTTGATGGCATATTTGAATTCTGTATGTAATTTTCTATCACATCAACTTTGATTTTGACCGTTATTTACAATTATTCAAATTCTTATGATTTTCTAGTTGTCTAAAAAAGGTTGGGCTAAATCCCCATTGACACAATGCTAAAAATCTTAAAAAGTTCATTTACTCTTACAAGGATCACAATTTTAATGTGAAATCACAATCCACATGTCAATAAGGTCATATAGTTATATTCCAATGGTGTTTTAAGTTGACCCAAATGGAATTATAACTTCTAAAATCAAGAAATTAAGTGACTCTGACAATATATTTACATGTATTCTAGCCCTACCCTAGCCCTACCAATACCCATGATGCCATCTATTTTTCCATTTATATGGAAAAGGGTCAATTACTTAACAAAATAAAGAGGAGAGATGAAAAATACATCATTATGTTGCATTAATACTCTCAATTTAACAAAAAAGATTTAAAAGATTAATACGAGACAAAAGAGTCAAAATAAAGAGACAAAAACAAAAATAGTTTGATCTGAAATCTGCTATCTGATTCATCAGCTAATCAACTTGTCATGAAATATCAATGTACTTACTTTAAATAGGTAAATATACCATAACAAATAATACATTGGTCTTAAAACCTTCACAGTATTGTCCTTATGGTTTTCATCAACATATACATCGAATGAGATGGAAATCTCCTTAAGAAATGTGTTAACAAGGTGGGGAATAGTGAAGAAGAGAATCCAGCATTTCTGAAGATTTAAACCTGGTCAAATTTTTGTAAGGATATCAAATAGATTTAGTTAGAGATAAGGATGCAAATGAATAGAGTAAAAAACGAAATGTAAACATATCTAAGTGTAAGTCTAGAGCCGTGATTATCCCAATGTATACTTATCACGATAAAATGTGCTCTTGAAATGGGACTGATGTTAAAAAAGTCTTATCACTGATTACAGATAGAAGCTTTTGAACATCTATCTGCTTCCTCCCGATAGTTTTCCTTAAAATGACAATCATCAGATTATTGAATTACCCAATTACATGTTATTTTCTTAGAATAAAATCTACTTTACTGAGCTCTAATCAAATTTTTCCTGTTTCGCACATAATTGACATCCTAAATGAAGATATAGGTGCATTTGATATTATCAGAATATATATTCACAAATTATATAGAATACACTAGTTGACTGTGGGGTTTAACCTAATTCTTTTTTATTTCAGCATTTTAAATTGTTCATTAATAAAGTTGGTATCAATTTCAGAATTGAATATCTTAATATGTATTTTTAAATTAAAATGCATATATTTTTGGTACTCAAGCATTTTTTTGTATTTACTGTATTTATTTATTGTATTTACTTATACTTCTTGTTAAGTTCTTGTTATGATGGTTAGGAGTGGTCTCATGCTTAAGATGAATACAAAAACATACAAAAATGGCTTACCAAGTTTTATACTCCACGATTCGATTGAGACTACGACAAATCCCTGATAGGCAATAACACAATCAAACTTATCCTGAAGTCATTATTTATCCTCTTTAAAATTGTCACATTTCTAAAGATATATGTTTCTGTGAAAGTTGATATCTTCTAACTTGTGTATAAATATCTAACCTGTCCTTAACTTTTTTAGTATAAAATAAATATCAACTTGCTCAATGCGAAAAATATGTCATGCTGAATTAAAAGGAGTAGATTAGATTTATTTTGTAAGCATATACATATATACACAGTAAGACATCCACCAGGTTAAATGCCGGTACATGTGTCCTTTTAAAATATATACATACCTGATAGATGTATTTATTAGCAATATATCTTGACAGAGATTTGAGAATTATTACATCATCAAATTAAAATTATTTCACAAAAGACATTTTTGTATTCCTTGGGAGTATTTTAAATATTTTTCTGTGCAATGAAATATATTTGACAGGATATGTACTTGCATGGGGTCAAATGAGTTAATATAGCCATATGAAAATATAATAAACTGTACTATAATACATATAAAGTTGAGCATATAGTACTTTCAATATTTTGACATGAAAACTTGACTAGTTTTCCTGGATTGTAACCAAAACTCTTTTTGGCACATTCACAATTTATTATAAAGTATATAAAGGTTTATCAATTTGGCAATTTGTGATTATGTTTTTCTTGGCTGGTAAATAATAAATTGTTTGGAAAATTAGAAATATTGCTTGTTAACTTGTTAACTCCTGTTTGACAGATTGCATCTCTATAAAATGAACATATGCTTTTGCAGAATCATGAGATACGATTGCTCCAAAAATAGACCATATTTCTTGGCAACCATCTCAGGGTGAAGAAAAACTTGAAAAACTTGTAATTATTTCGGAACAGTTTGACTTTTTTAATTTGATGTCCCTGTTAATTGTTTTTTAAGGATACACAATTCTACTTTTTCGTGTAAATGTCACATTTTGAAATGTATTCAATATATACTTTGGAACCACATGACATCAACAAAATAATCAAGTCAAAACCACAATATTTAAACTTAATAATGTCCATTTATGGAGTATTGACTTGAGAAACTACTTCCCTTTTCAAAAACCTTATTTAACGTATACATAAAAATATTGGGTGAGACTTGAGATAATGTATGCGGCGCCAGTCAAAATTGAAACTTCTGATTGGGTTCGAAGCCGAGATGCCCGGATATGTCCCAGCAAAAGCCGGAATTCACGTGATTTTTCACGAAGAAGGGGCGGAGTTTAAGCGAGATTCATGGAGACTTCTTCGTTTCAATCGTGTCAATCCCTGCATTGCTTATTGTTAACTCCACCTTTTTGCCCATATATGGAGTTGGAGATGCCACTTGCGAGCGTGAACAGTTCAGTCTAGAAATAGAAATTTCTTAAGCGATGTCTTTCTTCAATTTTTCTACACGATATCTCGATAAATAGTGGACATATTTGTACCATTCTTTCGTCAAAATGAGGGTATCGCTGGAATACATATTTCCAATCTGTTGGTCAATAGATTTATTCATTGATACTGGCAGGAATTAGATCGTAATAAACATGCTAAAATTGTAAAACTTGGAACGTTTGACAGTAATCTCCGAGTAATGTATGAATTGCATCGGGAGAAAGCAGGAGAAAAGATGGGACAGTCTGTTGTGTGGAGTTTGCAAAGCAATCCCGGATATAAATGACGTCATCTTAGCAGTTTACATGGTTTCGAAAGTGATATATTTTTGTGTCGTAGTGATGAGTTTGAATTATGTCGATTATTCGATTGTTATATATAAATAAACATCGATCTTCGGCGAAGATAAAGTAAGAACAACATATATATCCGAGAAACATGTTG